ATGTGTATGTGTGGGTGCTAACGAAAGATTAAAAATACGGCCTTAAGGAAAAACTATGGAATGAATATGATTGTTACAAAGGATCAAAATATTTTGACACTAAAATCTTCTTCAGCTCACTGAACAAATATTCATATACTCGAAATTTCATTCAAATCTTTGTCATTCTCTTTATCCTCCATGAAACTCATTGAAATTCCTATCTGCAATTCGTCTACGACAGCATAAATTCGATTTTAATGAATTTATGAATTTTTCTTTTTTCTCTGCTGCTTAATCAGATTTTCTAATATAATTTAATAACCGATTTTCTTTACGGAAAAGAAACGAGTACCTCACGAAATGGCATTTTGAGGCGTTTCCACAAAGTACTGCACAAAAGCCATTCCTCTTATAGGCGAGAAGATATGATAGTAGGAAAAAATAGTTGCAATGAATGAATGAGGACAAAGTTCTTCGATAAATGCCAAAGTTCGATTTTTAATCAACGAAGATTACAATTCCCGTTTGATAATCTATTGCTGGTTTTGCTCATTTTCTTAGAATTACATTGGCCGAAGTATTTTCAGTTAAATTGCGCTCATTTCGATTAAAAATGCTGATTTTTAAGGTAATTATGAGAAAAATTTGAACATTTGGTTGCAAAAATTTCTTTTAAACTTTAAATTATTACGAATGGCTAATAGATTTATATTTTAATTTGATAAAAGTAAACATTTTATTAAAAGTTTATCGAAGATATTTTTTTATTTTAAAATTTAAAATATTTAAAATATTTAACCTTTTATATTTTATTCGACTGAGCTATAGAATATTCAAAATTTTAGAATATTGATTTAATGAAGAAAAATTCGAAAAACTCAGAAAAAAAATATTAGAATAATAGCCAAAAAAAAAACAAATCGTAGAAATTCATTTATAAATTAATATGAATAATTATTTATTTATTTTATTATTTATTTTATAATAATATTTTTATTCATTTGTCTATTTGTTTGCATTAAAATTATTAATTTTAATATTATTTATTTTTAATATTATTTTTTATTTTTTCGATAAATTAAAATTTTTTTTGAAATTTTTAAAATTATTATAAAATCATTGAAAAAACATTCAATTCATCATCGAATAAATTGCCTTGCATTTGTTTAAATAATTTAAATGAATTAGAATAAAGAGAAAGGATTCAATTCTAAAAAATGATTAAAATGGTTTTCAAACTTTTATCATTGATTTGCAAGATTTTATATCCGTAAAAATATTAAAATATGCGAAAATATTAATAAATTAAATCAAATTGAAATTGTAGAAAATTAGAAAAATTTCGGGGATTTCAATTCCAAAATTAAAATCTTTTTAAAATCTTTTTAAACATATCTTTTTTTCCATTTATCCACCAGTTATTCCCTTCACGCACTTTTAATGAGCCCGAAGGAGGATTCGAGCATCGTGCTAACCTCCATATTCCTGGTTGAAATAATGTTGTTAAAGGAATCGAAAAGGAATCCAGGAATTATTAAGGAATTATTAATAGCAATAAGTAGAAATGATGATGGCCAATTATTTATTTACTTCTACGACGCGTAAATTACTTTTTGATTACTCTTAAGACCATCTTATATTTAATCGAACTCCTTTAATAAACATTCACCAACAGCACAATCGCCATTTAATTCATCATTTCTTTAAAGAATTCATTTTATTTAATGAAATTCATTTTAATTTATACATTTGAATTCTCAAATATTAAAAAAATAGAAAATGGAATAAGAATGATTTTGAGTTGTGAAATTTTCAACTGTACTTTTAATAAATTATAAAATTAATTTATTGCCTTAGGCTATTACGCAATAATAATAATTTTATGGCAGTAAAATGTATTTTTAATTGATATTAATATTGACATTTAAAAAAAAATAGGCATTTCTACAAATTTTTTATTCTTATTTCTTATAAATTAACGAATATAACAAATCATTAAATCGTAAATAATGAATGGAATATTTAATATAAATATTTAATAAAATATTTGTTCAAATAAGATCGATGAAAAAAAAATTCTAAAAAAAAATTTATATTGTTTATTATGTTTATTTGTTAATAAAAAGAAATATTCGCACTGATATTTTAATCATTTCTTCAAAATTTTAATCATTTATTGAAGACATTTGCTTGCAAAAATCAGTACCAAATGCTAAATAAAAAGAGTGTCCCAAATGCTAAATCAAATTAAATCAAAACTTCATAAATATGATAATCACTTTCCTCTTCCTTTTTCTCTTTGTAAAATTAATTAGCGGAGGCGATCAACTTATTGCTTAACGTGCAAAAGATGTGATGAAGACCGCGCAAGGACTGGTTGGAAATAAGAAACGAGCAATTGTCGTGATCTTGACGCTAGTTCTTGTGCATTATTCGCTCCCCGAGATCAAGCCAGCTATGGAATTAATCTTAATAACGATTCGTAGATTTAATTTTTTTTCCTTTTCGATTTTTCATTAACGTTATGATCAAATTTCTAATTACAACAATATTCAATAAAAAAAAAAAATTCTATTCAATTTTTTTTTAAAGAACCCTCGCCATTACAGATTAGAGTCGCTCCGCTTCGTACTAGACAAATAAGCCCAAAATAAAGAATATCCCTTGACGAATAAGTATAGGTAAGTCGCTTTACCCGAATTTTTTGGGCAGGTTCCCAAAAAATTCCCACGGAGAGTAGGACCTCAGCATTGGAGCTCCGAATCAAACCCAATGAGCCATTTTACTCTAGTTCATTTATTCATAAAATGAGATTTATGAAACTATTAATCATAAAAATCGCAGAAGCCACTTTTGAGGATTATAAAGTCGCCGAAAATTGTCCAAAATTTCCAAAGCTTGTCGAAGATCTTTGCCTGAGTACGTGCGCGCTGTGTTGCAGAACATTGGACTATAATTGCAATGATGGTAAATTGTATGGAATTTTTATTTTCGATAAATTTTGATATTAATTTATTATTAATGTTATAAATAATCGATGTTTATAATGTTGCGAATTGCGAGAATATCACTCGTGCAATGTGTCAAACGACAGCCTTCTACGATGCTTTGTTAAGAATGTGTCCGAAAACTTGTGGCCTTTGTCGCCGACCAGGTGCTGGCAATAGATGTCCAGATACAATCAAGGAATGCGGTATATTAGTAGGATTAGGTGGTTGCAGTCATGCGAGGATAAAAGGATTATGTCAGGGTTCATGCAATTCTCTAGATTGTTTAAATCGTAAGTTTTTTTATCATAGAAATATATTTTGGTGAAGTTCTATTTAATGTTGCACAATTTTTTAAGCTTATTTTATTAATTATGGAACCAGCACAATTACCTAATTGACTGCAGAAACTACTTTCGCGCCGGTGTTATCATGCCACGATGAACGAGTCAATTGCCATTCGAGACCATAACTCTGCATTGGACCATATGGAGCGGTCTATGCAAACGAGTGCAAACTCACCTGTGGTCTTTGCAGTAGAGGATAAAGATTTATGATTTTTCATTTTATTTTATTTATTAAAACTTGTTAAAATGAAATTTCTACCAAAATTTTTTCTAAAAATCAAATTGCCTCATTTTCGGTAGTTTTAATGACTATTTTTCGAGGAATCCTTTTTCACTCTTTATAGAAAATTGGTTATTTTAAAAAAATCATCATTTTTTAAAGGTTAAAACGAGGCTTATATTACTGTTTATCTTAGGAAAAAATTTCGAAACTATGCAGAATATCTTCTTTTAGCAATATATGTCGAAAATAAAATTTTGGACACTTTGAGAAAATTCCTTTCGAGATGAAAAATGCATGAATGATTCAAGGTCATGAAAATGCACTTATTTTACCACTTATCTGAATTGAAATATTAAAAATATTCTTAATGAATTTATCGGATTTTAACAAAATAGTCTTTGGTAGAAATCATCAAATTGATCTTAAAATTGTCGCATCATCGAAGTAGATCTTGTAAATTTTCGAAATATAATTTCTACATTTGAGCGAATTAGGACATTGTCGGTCCCGTTCACATTTTTTAATGGCGATGAAAACTATTTATCGAAAATATAGTTCTGGTGGTATCGCGAGATCCACGTGTAACTCCATAACTTTTCTGCTAAAAAGTCATATTCAACGCTTAGTGGAATTAAAAGTGCTTTTAAACGAAGATGAATTTTATAAAGATATTCTGAATTTTCTTTATTGAGAATTCTAGCAAAATTGTCATTTATAACTGAACTAATATTGTCAAAAAAACAAACAACAACAAAAAATAATACAAAAATATAATATAAAATATAATTTTTAATTATATTCTTGAAAATATACAAAAAAAAATTTATCAAAATTGTGCATGAAACATTGGAATTTTTTTACATTATTGCACTATTTAGACGAAAAAATTAATAAAAAAACAAACACAGGTAGTACGAGCAGCAGCACAAATGAGCAGAATTAAGGCTACTGGTCTATATCACATGATAATCTCGCAATAATACAGTTATTTAGTCAGTTAATACGCTATAGGCTAAGGATTTTTAACTTACAATTCAAGTATTCTTTGAAATTTCATAGGCAGTAAAAAATAAAAAATTTTTTTATTTTTACTAGAGAAATTCAATTAAAAAATGCCCGTATAAGCGACTTCATGGAAATGGCTCGACGCCTAATTTAGTGATATAACTTCATAGTTGACTGATTTATTGAATATCAAATCAGTTCAATAATTAAGTAAATCAACAAGCTTATCATTGGAATAATTTTTTAGTAAAATTTTTTCCAAATTTTCAAATTTACTAAAGTATGGTCAAATTTTCTTGAAAATTTTTCATATTCAAAATTTTTGATATTCACATATTCAAAAAATAAATTATCGTAAAGATTTTACTCGATAAACATATATTAAATAAGTGAACCATTAAGCATAATAAATAAATAATTATTATGAAAATAAAAAAAAATTGATTTAAATAATTTTTAGACGACGCTAGTGCCAGTCGTATCTAAAAATACCGTATTTATAGGGCTGTCTCGAGCTGAGAATTTCGATGATCGTGATAAAGATCTACGCAGTTGGCTACCTCTTCTAATGACTTGTGCTCGAAGACTATCGACTCGACGAGCAGCTTTTTGAACTCCTTGATTTTGTTTGGGCTTTAAATTTCCACAACATCGAAACGCACAAACACAACCTAAATAATGAAAATAGTGAACATTATTTTATGTTTTGAATTGCAATATTTCACTGGAACTCCATTTGTACTTCTACTTTCAATACTGAAGAATATTGAAGAAAAATGAGACTCCAATAGCCTGTGGTACCAGCCAAATGAGTGTTTTTAGACGAAAAAGAAAGAACAATGTTTATTTTGTTTTTTAGCTGGTAAAATAATTCACTGCTGGAAGAGAATGGTAATGATAGAGTGATAATGTATGATAGCAAATTATAAGGTAATTGATTGAACTTACACGTGATAAACAATGTTAGGAGACATGCGAAACCAACGGCAACAATCAGAGATAAGGTTCCGGTATCAAAACGATCATCCGGCTTACCTTTAAGCTCTCGGTGCAACGCATCTGAATATGAATATTAATGTTTCTTATTTCTAGGTAGTGACTCTGTATGCGATTAAACAACGAAAAAAGAGTGGTTGTTTTCTGGCATTAGATCGCGGGTCTTAACTATGGAACCATCCTAATCTGTCTAATAATCCGTTAGAAGAAATGATTGAAGATTATATAAAGTGGTTTATGCAAAATTTTTTTAAAGAAAATTGTTTCTTTTTCATAATGTATGGAAGGGATTTTTTCAAGGGTATTTTTTTTGTTTTACAAAGGGTATTTACAAAATTATGAAATAATAATTTATTTGCAAAATTGTTTAAAATGAATAAAATACTAAAAGAAGAATATGGATGGAAATATATGGAAAAACGTCCAAGCTTTTTTTGATCGCCAATTCGGATTTTTTTTTTTTTTTTAATAGCGAATTTAAAATTTTATGCATATTTTAATAAATCAATAAGTAAATATTTACATTCCGAAAAACATGTTCTTTTTTTTTAAAATTTATTCAATTTGATCATTTGAAGATGAATTTTATTGGAATATTTCAAACGGAACGATACTAAATATATTTTAAACGTATCTAGTGATAAAACTGATAATCATTTCTGATAAGGGCTTTATAAAATACTAAAATTATTTCCATGTTAAATTTTTTAAATATTTTCTTACCAATAACTTTTATTAAAGCATCTGACCATTGATCGTTTTGAACAAGTGAATTCACTTCGGACAAGATATGTCGACGTTCATCCACTGTAATATATCTTTCAGCTAATCGTGCTGGCCAAATCACCATCTGAATAAAAACTATCAAGCTTTCAAGCCTCATAAAATCTTTCAGTTCATTTAATTTTACCAAAAATTTTCCTCTCTAATCGATTCGATACTGAAGCAAGTAACGATTTAGTTTTATCCCACAAAAAAGTCCTATTTTTAGGGTGAATACAAAATTTGCATTTTATATTTGTGCCACCCCCCCCCCCCCCCCCCCCCCCCTCCCTCCAACCAATCTTCTCTTTTCTTCCTTTCTTGAAAAAAAAAATCATTTAAAAGAAAAGAATTTGTATAATAAATATTTCAAGCGGAATAACCACAAATAAAACCTTCTTATAATGTTTCCATACAAAAACAATAACTGAATTACCGCAATCACCGAGCGCCCATCGTCCTTCTAAAGTTCGACAAAACCCTTCGGCTCGATCGATGAGTTGCCTTAAACATATATTTTTAATATTTTTATTATAGATAGGAGAAGATTTATATGATAATCGACAGCTTTTGTGCATATTTAGTCGCACCAATGCTAGCGTTTTACTCACGCGAAGATTCAATCAAAATTCTACGTAATGCTGGCGACCCAACTGTATTTCTATCACCAAATGAATCTCTGATGAATTTATTTGGCTCAAAAAGCTAATGAAGTGGGCCTAACGAGAATTGGTGAATAGAAAAAAGGAATATTCAAAAAAAAAGAAATTTTAAAGAATAGAATAATATTTACTGTTCTGATGGACTATGAATGGTCATTTGAAGATTATTAACTAAGGCTATCGATACCACAAAACCATGAAATGGATTACTATCATCATTATCTGAAGTACACTGTGATCGCCTTTGGCAATGACATGGTGTACCAACTGCAAGTGCGTGTAGACGTGCATTAAGAAGTCGTCCTGAAAATTCTTATGAAGATTTCAAGATATTAAAATAAAGTGATACTTATTTTTATTTTCTTATTATGTATACATTTTGCATTATTTAAATAAGTAATTGGTTAGCATTGGTTAGCATTTTTATCATTTATCATTATCCTATCTTCAGGAAAATCACTTGGCGATAAGAACTGCTGAGTTTTTTTTTTTTCTGAGTGCATAATCTACTAATATAGAATAATAAATAGTATGTAGGATAATAATAAATAATAAATATTGCTAAAAATAAAATATTTTATTTTCAATCTTTATGGCTATTTTGTGAAATTTTTTAAACTTTGAAAAAAATTTTTATATTTCTCATATTTTTTAACGAAAAATCTCTTCATTTTCATCTTTTCGAAATAAATTATGTAAGTTGAAGCGATTTTGTCAATATTGCAGCTTGTGTAACACACATCTGTCGCTTATGAAATTTGATGTTCCACAATTTAAAGAAAAGAAAAAGAAGAAAATTAGGAATACTGAAAAATAATGAATATTCTCGAAGCATACTAGATCATTTCCTCTCTTTTTTTTCATGCAGCATTATAATATTAATAAATTGTCATCCATAGTGAGACCTGAAATTGCGAAGCTGGAAACTCCACTATTTTTGTCTTGAAACTATTTAATTCAGGTTCCAGTGTAGAGATTTTAACGCTTTCGAGGAACTCTTTGAGAAAATTTTATAATTTCAAAAAATCGAGACCACACAAGAGATTTTTCCAATCGATAATCGTGCTACGATGAAAATTCAGATTCTACTTTGCTATACTGAAACGGAAAAAATAGAATTAAGAACCACTAGCCTAGCAAAAGAATTCCATCTTATCAGCCAGAAGAATTAGCAAAAGCAACAAAAAACAGTTTGCACAATTTTCAAGAAGAAATTTGGAATTTATATTTCGCATTTATGTTTCATAATTTAGCAGTCTTATAGACGATTAAATAAAATCCTATAAGAAAGACTAAATTTTTTTGCTAAAAAATTTAAAAGAATTTTTTCCATCAAAAAAAGAAAGAACCAAATCGGAAAAAAATTTTAAAAAATGATCCAAAAATTTGATAACAAAAAAGTTCTATTTTTTATCAGAAATCTATAATAAATTTGGACTAAATTATTTATTGGATTATCTTAAATGATTTATTAAAGCTATTGATATTTCAGAGCTATTGGATTATTAGTTAAAATCAACTTTGTTATGTTTAGTGAATAGTCAGGTGATGCGGGCGGCTTAGTTTAGTTGCACTTCTTCGCTAAATAAATATATACCCGGAAAAAATTATACATATATATATATATATTCTTAAGAATATATATTCTTGGGGATAGAATAGCTCAGTGGGTTGTTGCTCAATTAGGAGAGCCGATGCTGAGGTTCGATTTCTCGTAGGAGTAAACCTGTACAAAAATCCGGGTGATTGACGACTCATCTATATCTCTATCGCCATTCCCTGGCATATTGCTTAATTGCGACAAGCCAGTGGAGCGAGTTTAACCAGTAATGAGGACTCTTCAAAAAAAAAATTCTTTAAAGAACTCATTATTTATTAGATTTGCTCCACTGATTTCTTGAATTAGATGAATATGCCAGAAAGGCCCTGGGCGGCAGAAACGCAAGTAAATTACCAGCATCACTCGGAATTTTTGACAAATTTATTTCTACTAGGAGCAGAACAAGAGCCTCAGTATCCGTATCCGAGTCGCGCAGGAACTGAGGCTCACGCTCTGAGCCATTCTACTGTTGCATAAAAGGCGCTTTCAAGATTATTTGTTTTACGATTCGGAAGAATTTAAAAGTATTTTAGTCAGAAAATGAAAAAGAAAGCTAAACATATTAAACAATTTTTTTTTAGCAACGAGAGACTGCATTTTGATTGGTTTCATTAAATTACTAAGTTGGGATTTCTTCATTAGATAGCTGAATTATGAAACAATAGTTAGGTCTAAGTTCCAGATAAACAAATGATTTTCAGTTTCAACGGTATTACTGCAATATCTTCTGATATCTGTGATAAATGTGTAACTCTCTTATTACAAAAATTTTATTATTGTCATCATCGAAGACATAAATCGAACTTTTCCGTCAGATATGAAAATTTTTATTTTAGCAGGTTTAAATAAATGTAATGATATAAAATACTCCGAATAAAGAAAATATATATATAAAAGCAAAGAAAGGAACTTAAATGTCAAACAGTAGAAAGGCAACATGAAGGGAACAAATATAACCAAGTACCATTTTAATGGTCGAGTACCATTTTAATGGCTTTTGCATTTAAAAAGTTTAATTCACCTTCATTCGATTCATATCAGTTATTAAATAATAGTAAAAATTTTGAGCTAATCAAAAAAGATTTGTATAGTCATTTAGATATTCCATCGTAATATATCATTTTTTTTTAAAATAAAGAGTGGTAAGAATTATTAGATTTAGCTCGAAGAAATTCGTTTCCACAATGAAAAGAAAAATCGACATTTTTTGGATATAAATTTTTGCAAATTATTTTTAAAAAAAAAATTAATAATTCTTTTAACGATGATTTTGATTTGGTGAATTAAAATAAGAGATATGAAACCTTCAGTAGTATTAAGTACGTGATCGGGATCACAAACATAATAAAGCGTTCCCGGTGGTAAATCTATGGAACATTTCGAAACCGTTGGACCACGAAGATCCGGATATCCAGAGCTTGTCCAATATGAATCGACACACTGCGAAATTAGTGGAAAATAAAATATTGAATAAAACATTTATATGAATATAGCCGATTGAAATCAATGAATTCCATAACACTGAACAAATGCAATGCAATTTTCTTTGAATATCGGTGTACTAAAAACTTAACGCCCCATTCATTAATTTTATTAAATAGTTAATGGATGAATGCATGGATATTTATGTGATTTTCTAATTGCTGGTCAAGCTCGTTCTATTGGCTTGTCCTACTAAATAAATTTGTCAGGGAACCTCTATGTGATAGAAAAGCAGGTGTGTTGCTAGCATTACTCGGATTTTCAGATTTACTCTTGCCGGGAATAGAACCTCAGTATCGGTGCCCCAAATTGGACAGCAACATACTGAGCTATTCTATTTTCCTTTGATTTAGACCTAAAGCCGAGTGTGGTGCGTCGACCAGATTCGAACCCAAACCTCCATTCTCTGGATCACAGACACTTAATCTAATATCAATATTTTGCATTTTATTTAAGACATGCTTTAAGACATGCTTACTTACTTGCTTTTTCTTCAAATAATATGCTCCATTTCTTCTGATATGATTGGCTTCATTAAGCATAACTAAGATGATTGAGAGATAAGCCTTTCATTGGTATGAATTGCGACATATGGGATCTTTTAACCGCTTTTTCACGACAATCTTTAAATTTATTTATTTTCAACTCTTATTGCTATTGATTTAAGATTTTAGTCTTTTTTCATATCGAGTAATTTTCGTTCGTTTAAATTTTTTGTTTTTGATAAACTATATATTCAATATTTTACAGATATTTTAATCGCGTGTAGATGAAAGTTTTCATCAGTTTTTTTTCCTACACAGCGCTTATCATTTCTAGTTCTACATTCGGCTGGAATAAACCTGTCTTTCAAAAATCCAGCTCAACTCACCAATATTTTTTATCACTAAATGATATCATTGGTGAAATTTGCCTGGTTCGGCAAGCTAGCGGATGAAGCTTAACTAAAAATGGTTAGCGTTCTTCGAAAAAAAAAAAAAATATTTCTAGCAAATAATCTACCATTTCATTTAATTTCTTTATTTAATTAATGTATAATATATATTCAAATTAATTTAATTTATAATTTCGTAAATTTTTGCTATACATTTGAAAATTCTATCAGCTGTTTCAATGGAATTCGTCTATCAACTACATCTATGTTAAGGTGGTAAAGATAAAGATAGATAGATAAGTATATAATCATTATCTCTTGCAATGCTCAAATCAATTAATCAGTCAGCTTGAAAATTTTTATTTTAAATATTTTAATTTAATATACATAAGATATATATTCGTTTATTTATTTCCAATTTTTTCTGATATTTAATAATTGGAATAATTTTATTGCTTTCCTTAATGAATTTGCGATTGTAAAAAATTTGTGTCAACTTAAGATTTTCACCAACTTTTATTTATTCTATTCGTTATTGCATTTGGGACTTTTTTTAGGAATCATTTTGGAATCGATCTCCATCCTTGCCGCACAAATGTTGTGACTAGAAAGCTCATAAATAGCCTCCTTTAGATTATTAGATTTAATGAAATTTCTAATCGATTTTTGAAAATTAAAAGAGACTGATTTATTTATGATATGATAAATTATCTAAAAATGGCAAAAATGGCATTAAATGTTGAGAAATACAAAGAAATGTCAGTGAATTTATTGCGAATAATTTTGCAAATCGGCATTAAAATATCAATAAAAAAAAAAAATCTTCGAAAAATTTTCGAACGATATTGGGTCATTTGAAAAAACATATTTTCGAGATTATTTTCATTAAATTTATTATATATCATCCAAATTGGTTTATTTTTAATTTAATCCTTTCTTCAATTATTTAGCCTCTTTTTTTTTTTTAATTCGCATTAAATTACAATAAATATGATAAAATATTTCCTATATCAATAATCATTTAATCAATTATACTATTCGTTTAACTTTGCCAAACTGACTCTTCGTCAGGCAATAATATCGCTTAACGAAAAAAAATTAAAGAAGAATAGAATAGCTCAGTGGGTTATTGTTTAATTCGAAGCGCTTAAATTCTTTACTTCCCAAAAGAATAAAAATTTGGATGATACTGGCGATTCTATCGCGAAGAAATTCTCTAGCATACGATAAACCAGTGGAGCGAGCCTAGAACCAGTAATGGTGAATGCTTCTAAAAAGAAAAATTTGTTTAACTAGATTTTGACCGTAAAATAATCCATTGTGTTTCCATAAATAATTTTATGCCACAGCAAAAATTTAATAAATCACCACATTGATAAATGATAAATGAAAATAAATAAATTGATAAATAAATTTGCTGATAAATTTAATCACCACATTTTTCTAGTAAATTTAGATTATTTCTTCATATTTATCAATTTTTTTTTTATCTGTAACCGCTCACCATTTCTAGTTAGGCTTATTCTTTTCGGACGAGATTTATCATGCCAGTTTATCATTTAGCAATAAAAGTATAGGTTAATCACATGGAATTTTGAAAGGCAAATTTATTCTCGTGCGAAGAGTAGAATCGCAACATCGATGCCCTAAAATGAGAGATTAACCAACTGCCATTCTACCATATCTTCTTCTAGCAATTTTTTTTTTCCAATATATATATATATATTTTTCTTCTAATAAATACTCATTTTCTTTGTTTTGAGCAGGGAATCCTATGAGGGTAAAAGTATAGGTGCACCTATAGGATCGCCGAACTAAGAATCATCTAAAAATTTTTGGTATTTATAAATTTACCCTATAAAAGCAATGGAACTCATTGTTCGTAAATCTTTTCAAACAAATAGTAAATTAGACATATAAAATAATTGAATCTTATTAATAATCCTTTTACTGATAAGATGTGATAAGAAAAAGCGAATAATTTCTTTCCATTTAATTTAAGACTTTAGGCTTTAAGAACTGAATATAAAACCTCTTAATTTATTCTTTGCTCGTTGTTCATCTATTAGCCAATGGAGCGATTCTAATCCAAAATACTAAGCGTTAATCATTTCTTATTACTTATCTTCTCTCTAAATTTTAAATTTTCCTCCAAATTTTATAAAATTCTATTCAATAAACCTATAAAAAATTCTTACAATAAGATAAGGTAATGCTAATGATAAACAGCTAACTGATAATAAAATTTTGATTATAATTAATTAATCAATCGTTTCGATAAAACTTAGTAATAAAATACATTTCAATTCGTTAATCAAGAAATAAATGAAAAAATTCGTTCGTCAAAATTTGCAAGCAATAATTTATATTAATTTTTTACAAGAGAGTGGTGGTAGTTGTAGCAGTGATTCGCTTTACAAATGCGCAAAACTTTTCTTATCTTCTTAATAATGGTAAAGAGTTCGTTCTTAATGGCGAAATCAGTAAAATGTAACAGCGATGAAGAGTGCGAAATTATTTGGCCACGAGCGACATGCAGAAATCGACGATGTGTTTGTCCGGAAAACAGTATAAGGTTTATTCAATTCAAATTTATAGAAAAGCCGTTGACTCTATCAAATTTATATGTGCACTGATTGATGGATTAGCAGATAAGGATTAATAGATAGGAAATATAATGTTTTTTATAAATCTTTTGGGTATTCATCGGATAATCAATCCATCATAGGTCAACTTTGTTTTTTTTTTGCAGAAATTTATCACGTTTTCTCTAACAACCGCTCCCGTTCCATTATCCAGTATTATACTTTAAAAAAAAAGGAAAACATGGAATATCATACGATGGTCAGATTTGAGATATTGGTAATTGAGTAATACGTTGGTTCGACTTAAGGGCAAACAGCAAAGGTTCGATTCCTGGACAAAGAATGATAATGATTTTATCATTAAAGATAAAAACCTTACGACTGTTGGTGATCCACCTATGGCTTCATTTCTAACAAAATTATTTTAAAACGAATGGATTATTTGAATAGCCTATCTTAATTATTAGTGGAAGAAGCCAAGCCAGAAATGGTTGTTAGATGAAGACGATGATCGCATGAAATGAGCCATATCCAAATAACATGAACCTTTCATTTATGTGCATCTTAAAATAATTTTTCCTCAATATTTTTGTTAACAAATTCAGGAAAAGGAGTCATTCGTATGGTTGGGTATGTTTGTCACTATTGGACGCCAGTACTGGAATGTTAGGTCCACCATTAACATGCCCGTTACCAGAGGGAGCAGGTTTTCGTACTATCTTCAATAAGGATTCTGCATTTTTATGTCAGTCTAAACAAAAGAACCACTGTCAAAAAGGTTACGAATGTATTCAAGGAATCGGTTATTCGACGAACCAAGGAGATGGAGTTTGTTGCCCAACCAGAGGTAATTTTTATCTCTTCCCATATATATTTCTACTCGAAAAAATATTTTAATTTCTGTAATAGGTTATATATATACCAAATTTTCGAATTTGGGTCTAATTTCCCTATTATTTCTCTTAGGCTTATAATTTATTTTCTTATAATTGCACTCAGCTGACTACACTCAGTATCAGTGCTCTTCACGTCAGTGCATATGGCTTTAGCTTTGCTGTGCAATTTTTTATATTTACACTTCCCTCTTCTGCCTTTAAATTAGAAAGCCGTCAAGGAATTAAAGTTAAAATATGATTAAAAATAATTAAACTGGAAATTGTTAAAAGTGTGATTTAATAGTGTTATTTCCTTGCTGGAAAAAACTGGTAAAAGAAGTATTTACTGCAATTTTAATAAGCCTTACTCGATAAAAGTAGGTAACTAGTAATTTTAACCTTAAGAAATTTGAGTTGCAGAAATTTGATAGATGTTTAATTTTCAACACACTGAAAATGAGGCTTAATTAAGTAATATACGCAACAGATAAAGGTGAACTAAGAGAGTCAAACGAGTTTCATGCGAGTGCCAAAAAAGCTTATTGAAGATTTCATAGATTGTACATGATTTTGTTAAATGCATACCCTTACCTTAGGAAAAACTAATTAATTAAAAACTAACTAATTTTATTAATATATAAAACTGCGGATTTAATGGCTCAATAATTTGCTCTTATTACCGAAATATTGATATTCCACATAGAAACACAAGCGAAACACCATAGAATATTAATTAATTAAATAATTATTTAATAAAAATGTAATATTAATAGAAATAAATATAAATATAAATTTATTAAATAAATCTAAATTTATTGCAGAAAATGCTTGTAGACAAATTTGCAATAAATCGAATGATGGTTGGATATTACGATGGTATTTTGATGGAATCGAATGTCGATCGTTTTTATGGAATCCTGAAAAAAATTCGACAGCAAATAATTTTACAACAAAAACACATTGTGAATCGTATTGTATTAATTATGAAAAAATTTTGCGATAATTTTTTCAATGGTATTTTGCTTGTTATTCTTTTATATAAATGTGAAAATTACCTTAAAATTGTTTTTTTTCTTTAATCCGAGTAAAATTACAAAATTTTAGAACAATTTTCAAATTATTACGTTTAATCAAATTTGTTTCATAAAAATTTTAAACCGAACGAATTAGGAAATGTTTAATTTTGGATTCATAAATAGGCTTCGGAAACAAAACGATAGGGAAAAATTTATGTCTTGAATACTCTCTAAAATTCTCGAATTTGATATTTAGCACTTTTAGTTTCCAACGTAGAAAATAAAGGACATTGGTACCACAATATCGATCATCACAGAAATTATCGTTTTTTTTTAATAATTCGATCTTTAGTTTTACAAAATTTACAACAGAACTATGTAGGCGCCATTAAGCTAGCAAAATAAGCCAAAGTTTTGTCCTAATCTAAGTTAATATCTTAAAAATCTATATTCTTTCAAATTTATGCTGAATGCATCTGTGGAAATATATAAGCTTTAAGCTTGAAAAGGCTCGCTGAGTATAATTGTCTTCTTGCTGTATAATCTGCCAAACCTCATCATTTTTGATAGTAAAGTCGACAAAATATATGTTAAGATTGTTGATATTTGAATTTGTACCCCAATACCTATACCAGAATGAAAATTTGATCACCACAGCCAGGTGCCAGATTAAATCCAGCTTGTCTCGGACGCATCTTGCATTGTTGCTAGTCTGGTTAGCAGAAGCCAGTAATTTGTTTCCTCTATGATTGCTACATTGCATCCTGTCATAAAAACTGGAAGCAAAATTGTTTTGCTTTATTTATATTTCTCCTTTAACCAATATCAGTCAATGGAACCTTTGCAAATGAGTTGTGAAAGTTTGGTAGCAAAAAAACCATACAAGTTTGAGCTGAAAAAACGAGAACAAAAATTTGCGACTGGGGTAAAAGTATATTTTAAAATTTCCCAGATTGCTGCCATCAAATTATTCAACGCCTTTACGAATGAAAGTTTATTTTATTCTTAATTTTTCAACTAATGAGAAAACATTTATTACGTTGGTGACTTCGATGTCTATATGTGGTGAAAGAATCATATACTAATGACCACTAAAAGCACCAAAATAGGAAATGGTGACTATAATAAGAAGCAAAGAACCAAATTAAATTAAATAAAATTTTCAGTAAGTTGATTTATTGTAATAATTGCTTTATAATCGATTTTTACAATGAAGATGACGAATAATTTGACGAATTACATTCGAATTGAATTCCATAAAAGAAACAAGTTTTTCATTTTGATAGCTTTCATCATGAATGGTACCGTTTTAGAGAATCAGCGGTGCAGTTCTACCGAATATATTACACCATGGGCGACTGTTTGTGCTATGCTTGCATTATATTTGGTGGCACTATTCTGGTTTTTTAAGCGTATTTTTTCCATATTTCTTTTTTTTTAATGATTTTTATGATAACTAATTATTTAAAGCAAAAATATAATTATCCATCTTTTATTTCTTTTTAATTTTATCATGAATTACAAAAATATAAGTTATTATCAGTTATTATCAGTTAATTAGTTATTATCAGTTATCAGTTGTCATATTTCAGATGGCGTTTCTTTTATAAAAATTCGATAAATTTAGCAAAAAGCTTTTTTCTAAAGCTTTTTTGATTATTTTAAAACTGGTTTTTAATAAAAAATCGGATTTTAAACATTAATTTTAAAATTATTAAAATAGAAAGATTTAGTATTTAACATTTTTTGGTGCATTATAATGAATAATATTAAAATTAAATATAAATGGCAAATGTTATAAATTGAATTTGAATTTGGTACTTGTGGAGCTTTTTAATTTTTAAAATGATTAGATTTACTAGGATCCAATTATTGCAAGAAAATTCTAATAGGCGCATATTTTAGATGGCAAAAGTGTATGTATGCCAGCGCCGGACTCAATTTATCCTTATAAAAAACGTCTCAATTTTCTCAAGAAAGGTACCATCGTTCAATTAAATAAAAAATGCAACATCGATTTACGTGATGTGCGTTTAACATCTACCGGTATTCCTATCGGCTTTCCACATCGCTGGAATCAAATTCGAGCAAATACTGGCTTTTTTTAAAAAATTCGAAAATGCAATGGTACTTGCAATGGTACTTGTATAAACTTTTGGATGCAATGAAAATTACAAAAAAAATTTTAAAACAAATTTGAATTCAAATTTGACTTTATTAATCAAGAATTAAGAGAAATAACTTAGACACTGTGCTTTTCAAACTATAATTATTTCAGAACTTGACCACCTTTTATTGGATGACATGTTCATTGAATTGACAGATAATAAATTAGGCCAAGGCGCAGTTGGTTTCGTTTTTAAAGGATACGTTTATGCAAAAACTAAGACAAGATTTAAGCAGAAAGTCTTCGCTGCTGTTAAAGTATAGTTATTTATCATTCATTGATCGGGATTTGCTTTTAATTTTAAGTGCATTCTAGCTTTATTATCATTCACTAATATCATTATCACCAAGTGATTCTCTGGCAAAGAGGTCATATCTTAATGGCTAATGGGATTAACTAAGCCACATTTAGTATCATTAGAGGATATAAATCTTCCGATCTTCCCTTTCTACCATATTCTGGATTATTTTAATGCATTTTTTGGATTATTTTTCTAAAGGCATTCACCAGTTCTGGTTAACGCGTTCTATTAGCTTATATCAGACACATTCTGTCAAAAATTCATTTAGCCATTTAGGTACAAATGATTTTCGAAGGTCTCTTTGAAATGAGCGCAACAAGACATTCACCCCTAGGGCTTTTCGTTTTAAATAATTTATATTACATATCCATTATTATTACTACAATTACAATAATTGCAGATGAGTTATCCAATGCCACAGAAGTCAATGGGACTACTGGATGAAGCTTTCCGTATGTCGAAACTCGATCATCCAAATATTGTAAAATTGATAGCGGTTAGTAAATTGTCGTTTGAAGCGTTTCGCCCGATGATTGCAATGGAATGGCTTCCAGGCGGATCACTTGCAGAATATTTTCGTAACCATATTCGTGTAATTTAATTTTATCCTTGTCCTTGTGAAATCATGTATCAAAAATATAAACCACCTATCATACCACTTGTTGTTTTCTTCATGAGAACGCCATTTTTGGTTATATCACATATGCTACGTTGGTTTTTTGGAGCAAAAAGTCACTTGAAGCAGAAATGGACCATTAGAACCATCCGGATTTTTGCATGTACGGTTCAGTCCGCAAAACTAATCTAATTAACCTAACGTCGATAGAGGCAAGTTAGGCTATCAATTAAGTAACAAAGAAGAATAATTAATTTTTATCTAATTTTGCCATAGTTGCTTTTTTTTTTCAATTTTTTATTTGATTTCACGTGTTTTACTTCTAATATTGCTCCAGAAAAACGAAAATGCTCCACTTGTCTATGTTCGAGATATTGTACATATACTTCGTCAAGTTGCTCAAGCTTTAAAATATTTGCATGAAAGTGTCGATGACTCGGGATATGACGCTAGCCATGGAGATGTAGCAGCTCGTAATGTTCTACTTGCCTCTACAAATCTAAGGTGAATTCATAATTTATAATTTGGGAATATAGTACAACAAAAATCTTAAATCTTTTAATAGAATTTTCGAAATTATTAGTGCTGCTATGAAGCCACTATTTTATATCATCGCAAAAAAAGATAACATGAAAATTGTGTTGCTTTAAAAAAAAATCTTGGTGGAATCCTTGATAAAAAAATTTTTATCGGCCAATGAAAACGATAATAACTGAAATAGATTAGCTATAGAACCAATACAAATCTATAGACTTATTCAGATCACCAAATTCCAAGTTTTATTTAGTGCCAAAAAATGATAAATTTCATCGCTTAGGAAATGATTCCTAAAATAAAAGAACAAACAAGTTCTATAAATTTATTTATTTATTAAAAGGCCAAGGCCAAGTAAAGATTTGATTAAATATAATATAAAATTGATAATTGATAATCAATAGAATATGAAATTAAAAGAAGAAATATAATTATAAGAAATATAATTAAGGAAAGAGAAAACGCAAGGTTAGGTGGTGTAAAATGGCTCAGTAGGTTATTATTCTCATATTCGAACTTGGCTTCTATTCCCACATGAAATTTACCTTTCCAGTATCTGTACTTGCGACCCACCTTCACTTCCAACTATTCTTGACCCAAAATTTATTCTGTTTAATAAGAAATGTTGGGTGAAAATGCTGGGTGTTGTTTGGCCCATAAGATATGAATGATAAAATGGTAATTTTGTTATCCTTTAAAAATGTGTAAAAATGATACACGGCCCACATAACTTGGTGCTGCAGACGCGCATTGGTAGTTTCAAGCCATTTGATCTCCTTCTATTGAAATTCAAGCTGAAGGTGTAGTAGATGGAGTAATTTAGCGGCCTCATGTAGGATTTTGCAACACTACCACATCTTGCTTAATTCTCTTTATTCCAAGCTATATAGTTGATTTTCTCTTGTAGTTAGTGGCACAACCAGGTCTGAGATGATGGACAAAATATTTCTGTGACCCCTCGGATAAATTTATTCGGATTTTTGGATCCAGATGAATTGCACACTTCAAGAAAGTTTCCTTTACAGAAACATAAAATTCATTATTTTCTAAAGGTTGTTTATTGTTGTCCTTTAATATGCCTTTTAAAATCACTTTTTCGCCTACACCAGTACAGAAGTTTGAAATATAACTGATAAATTTCAGATGCCAAGCAAAACTTGGTGATTTTGGAATTCCAATCGATTTTGGTCCACGTTTACCTATACCCTGGTTACCACCAGAAATTGTTAGTTCGCTTGATCGGACGCGCATAATTCATCGACCAGAAAGCGACGTTTGGTGAATAATTTAATTATTCAAAATAATTTCCATTTTTCTTGAATCAAATTATTCTAGTAGTTAAGGATGTTTGGCGTTCTCGGATGGGAATGTGCAACTCTTGGAGCCGAACCACATTATCAGAGAACGGTCGATGAAATACAGCAATGCTTTACGTGGCCTGACCGAGGATTACATCGACCACCATCCTGTCCTTTAGATTTGTATGTTCCTTTTAACAATATCAAAAGTCTCGTGATGGTACTATGCTAAGACGCAAATGTAAATAGAATTCCATAAATTCGCAATGATAGCTCGTAATTTTTTTTAGTGTTGATAAACTGAAGGACAGTTTAATATAAATTTTTCCTCAGGTATAAAAATTTTTTCAAGAGAATTTCAAATGGTTATAGAATAAATCTCATTGAAACAATTCGATAATAGCCATATTCATCAACTAAACTGAAACGATTTAGAGCCTAGCAATAGCCTAGCCTAGCTTTTTCTATTCAAAAACAAAAAATATCTATACTATATTAAAATTTACAGTTGGAATTTTTTAATGGATTGTATGTCGGAACAACATCGACGTCCGAGATTTGCTGGCTCTGTTAAAACTGTTTCATCTGCAATATATCGCCTAGAAATTTTACGCATTACCTATGAAAGAAACGATCAAATCTTTACGATTTATAATAATATATCAAATTGTACGTGTCATCAACATCGTTGCAATATTCCATTACCATCATTTTCATGTAAATGTTAAAGAAAAAAAAAAAAACAAATTTCAGAAGGAACAAAAATCTCTAAAAAAATTTAAAAAGATAAAATTTTAGATAAAAAATAAAAGATAAAATTGATAAAAAAATGTTCAAACATATGATATTTCAAATTTCAAAAATTTTTATAAACTAAACCTGTATGATAGAAACAAAAAAGAAAAAAATAAAAATATTATTTTAAATACAATTAAAGACGCATCCATAAAAAGACGCACTAATTTCCCATAATTTTAGTATAAAATAAAATATAATAAATCAAATTAAATGTACCATATTACTTAAATATCTTTGAATATCACAATTGCCGTATTAAAAAAAAAAGGATATTCCGTTATAAATTAACATTTTTTAAAGAAACGCTGAAAAAAAGCTGAAATAAAAGAGAAATGATAAAAAAACTGACAAAAACTGAGAGAAATGATAAAGAAAAACCAGAAATTTTTATATTGCATACTGAAAGACCTGAATAAAAAAAAATTCAATATTTAATAAATTTCAGCCAATACCAGAAAGAAGACAAAACACCTCGTGGTATGAAAAAAGGTTGCAATGGCAAGGATGAGCTGCTATTGTAATTATTGAGAAGATAAACGACGAAATCGAATGAAAAAAGCAAACTCATAAGCCTTAAAAATATGCAAAAATTGCACCATTAATTCCAATTCTATTAAAAATTTTAATATAAAAAAAATTCCCCAATTATTCGTAAGAAAAATTACCAATCTGTCTTAAAAGATTACGAAGAAATTACAAAAAAAATGATTCGATGAGCCAGTGGAACTGATAAAAATATAACCGTTCTTTCTGGAAACATAATTCGCAAGCATGAAAAGATCAGCAATGATGCGAGGGAGAAGAATTTATTATTTACTAAAATATATTAGGACAAGCTGACCAATCGTTAATTTTTTTCTTCTCCCAATAATCACCAGTGAATAAATGGACGACAGTGCCCGTTTTATCATCTTGAGTTTTTACAAACCATAAGGGTCGATATTCCTCGAATGGTTCACCTAAAATATAAATTATTAAATAATAATAAACACAATATTTAATATATCACAAAACAAATAAACAAAATATAGTGTAATAAATAAAGAAATATGTACGTATAAATATATATAAAATAATGAAAAGGTATAAATAAATGCGAATAATTCGCATAAATTTTAAAATATCGAAATAAACTTGAAATATAAAATATTAAAATAAAGGGAAATAAAGGAAAAAACTTTACCTAATTGCATTGCTTTTTCAGCTAATGCTTCACGCTGTCTTCTCGCAGCTCGTTGTTTTTCTTCAATTTCGACTTTAACTTGATTTGCCTCATCCCACTTCCCTTCCTCCATTAAGCGTTGATCAGGACGAAGACGCGAATCTGTTGGAGCTATGCCAGCTTCTAATTCATTTAATTCGATCGCTAGCTTAGTAAAATGATACATTTTTTCCGCATCCGGGCTAAAAAAAATTCAAATTAAGGAAAAAATGTATAAAAAAGGAATTAAAGAGATCAAAGGAATTAAAAAAGAAACAACTGAATAGCTCAATCAAGTAATCTTTTTTAATCCATCCATGGTGATAAAATATATGATATAATTCATCATTTCATTGATTAAAAATCAAAGAATTTCTTAGATGAGTCGATAACTCAGAGAATCGAGAGAGTTCGTCGAATAAGCAGACGTATAGCTCGTCAAGGAAAACAAAGGAAGGTAGAATGACTCAGTGGCTTATTACTTAATTGGATAGCTGATGCTGATGTTTTAGTTCCGGCAGGAAATTTGTTTAAAAAACTGCAGTAGCGAGTCTAATCAGTTATGGCGAATGCACTTTAAAAAAAATAGCACAACACCACATTTCGCTCAATTATATGAAATAAATAATAGCAAACATTGGAGGATTTACGTTCCATATCCGCCTGGCTGGAGATGTCTCAAATACAGCCTTATCACCATCACCACTTCCCTTGATGACTTTTAACATATCCAAACTTTTATCCCATGTTCCTTGAATTATCCAGTGGACAGTGCCATTCTGATCTTTAACAATGCCTGTCACCTATAACTATGCTTGCATCCTTTTATTAATTTTGCATGTTAAAATCAATTTTCTTTCATTCATTATCTAACATATATATAGAAGATATAAGCCTTTCATTGAATGGAAAATTTTAATTTTTATAATTAATTTTTAAATTTTTAAAAATTTTTTCATTGAAAAAATTTCTAATTACAAAACAAAACCTTTCGTGGTATATCGCGAGAAAAATAACTGTACGCATGGAATTTTAAAAAACATTTATCACCAGTCAAATGATTAGTTATTACCATCTCACCGTGATTATCTATCCATAATTTGCCAACAATAATATTATGTACAGTTGTTGTTACCTTTTTGTAGGAATAATTATTTGATCGTCCATTAAACTGTAAATTTAAAATAAATAAATAATAAAAGAATTTATGAATTAAAATGAATAAAAGAAAAAATGAAGAAAAAGAGAATAACAATAAAAAAATTTTGTAACAAGAAAACTTATAACTTGTAATATAAAAAATGCTGATAACCTTGATATAAGTATATCCTATCGGAATAATCGAAAGATATTTGCCACGAAAACGGGAAGTCATGGTGAAATCTTGATGTAATGACCATTTTCTTCCATCTGCATGATGTGCAGTTACGGGAGGATGATGACATACCTAATAATTTAGCATAAATAGTATTTCTTGATGAATTAGCTTTTAGCTAGAATCGAACAATAAATTTGATAGGAAAAACACCTGTTCTGCCATGGAACGCCAACCAAGATCTGCCCAACGATCGCATTCAAAAGTTTCTCCAAGAAGAGGATTGAAAGGTTTCGTAGTCCGATTACCCGTAGTTGAATATGAGCTGATTGCAAATGCAGCAACATAACACATTTGTTCAAGCGAATTTTCGATAAACGCTGCTTTATCCAATAAATGTGAATATTCCAAATCTTCAGATATTCTTTGAAGAAATGTTAATGGCTCATTAAAGTTGACCTAAATGATTAGCTAAATTCGAAATAATAAGTTTATTTTTAATGATTTATAATTAAATTATATAATGATAAAAGCATAAAAAACTAACGGGCATTGGTATCTTTGAAAGTTCTTTACCAATACAATTTCGCATTATAGACCACAGATTTAATGACACCTGTGGTCTCTCAGGAATTTTCGTACGCCTTTTTCTCATTGTATTCGTATTTGTACTATCAGTGCATGGTGGTGCGTATGCACCAAAATCTACAGGAATCTAAAAATCATTATATTATTATAAAACATCACATCGTTACATCGCTATATTACATAAAAATCATAAAACAGAAGAAAAGAATTCGCAATGAATTATATTTATTTAATAATTAATAAAATTCATCAATGTAGGAATATATATCGAAATGAAAATTCGAAAAAAACAAATTCATTATATATAACCTGTTCACATACTGCAGTCGACGACGTAACAATTTCGGCATCGAACGGTTGACGATCATTGTCATCATTACTTGAACCAGTTTGAGACGAAATTGATTTTCTAAAAATCTTTTTTTAAATCGTATCTTCGATATTTTAAAAATAAAAAATAAGAAAAATAAAAAACTAGAAAGCACCAAAAAAAAGGAAGAAAAAATTCAGTAAGAAAATAAAATAAAGTAAGAATAGAGAAATACATAATATAAGATAAAATATGAAATAATGAAAAAAGGAATATATAAAAATAAAATATAAATATAATAGATAAAATAATAAAATATGAAATAATTAAAGAAATCAAATATTGAAAAAACTAAAACGCACAAATTAGCTATTAAAAAAATTGAAAAATCAAATTAAAATTTAAAAAAATTAAAAAATTCCATTATATATTCCCCATTAAATTATTTTTTATATTATTTAAACACTATGAGATAAAGTACTTGCAATAAATTTCAGGTAAGAATTAGTTAGTTAGTAAGAATTATTCACATCGAAAATTTCGTATATTTTTGCAAAAAGAAAAAAATCATCCAAAATTAAAACTGTAAATTAAAATTTCGAATGATATAAAAAATTTTTTCGATAAATTTTGGTTTATTTTTTCATAAAAACGATTATAAATGAATGATTAAATGAACTGAATATAAAAATTTTGATTAAAAAATAAGAAAAAAAATAAAAACCGATCGGAAAGTAAATCAATCATTTGATCCGTTGCATCATAAAATTCTTCATCACTTTCAATTCTTTTCAAACCTGAAATATTTTATTTTTTGAAGAACCATTTCTGTTTAAGCTCACTAAATTTAATTTTGTAGCGAGCAAATTCACTTTCACTTTACTTTATTATTCACTTTATTATTTCATAATTTATTTGATAAAAATTATAAAATTATATAAGCGAAATTGTGAAAAATCGAGCCTTTTTTTTGATGAAGAAAAATCGAAATTAGATGGCAAATAGAAAGATCTTTCATCTTATAACTATTTAATCATAAATAACTAGTTATTGAAAACATTTATTTCGTACAATAGGAAAAATAAATTAAATATATTGTCAATAATTTTAAATAAACAATAAATAAATAACAGGTTTGCGTAAAGAAAATCATTTTTGAAAAAGAGCAAATGAAATTTTGCAGTCGAATTTTTCATGAAATATATAGTAATTTATATTATTCTTAGACTAATTGATCAAAAAATTTATGAAAAAATTAAAAATTTTTTGTTTCAATTTGATTGATTGCTTTAAAAAAATTTTCCTCGGAACAAAAAAATTAAGTTAATACCTTAAAAATTTAGAATATCTGAAATATTAAAAATATACGAATAATAAAGAAAATAAGAATAATAAAGAAAATAGCAAAAATTAATTATTTACCGACTGCATTTCCCCTCTCCTTCCCTTACTTTTCGTTTTTCAAATTTTTTAAAAATAAATAAAATATTATAAAATATTTTCATTTTTCCTCTTCCCCTCCTTCCTCCATAAGTTTAAAAAATTATATTTTATGCAAAAATTATCCTATTTTGAAGTATCATTTAAGTCCAAGATATCTTAAAATGGTCCCAGTGTAACAGCTCTCATTTTGAAGCGCTATCGTTCCACACTAAGTTTGATTTCAAGTATTTCAAAAACCCAGATAATGTAAGCGATTCATCGTTACTTCTATCGCCAAATGATTCTCTAACAACATTTTGGTGCGATAAACCAATAGAGAAAGCATAACCAGAAATGGTGAAAAAAAATCGAAAAAAATCCAAGATATCTTATATAAATTAGAACTTACTAAAGAAAAAATAATAAAATTATTATTAAAACAAATCAAATCAATTTACATAAATCAATTTACGAAATATTTATACGAAATAAAATCACCTTGATGAGTAGCGTGATAGGCGTGACGCTCAAGACTGCTATGTTGTTGTGCGAGCTCCTCTAACTGATCTTGAAGTCTCAAACAACGTTCATGTTGATCTGCTGCATAACGTTCAACTCGTCTCGACTCCTTTAATTTATGGGCCGATTTTAAATAATGCAAACTATCAAAAGATATTAAAAGCAAGAAAACTGCATGGTCATACAATCAAGTATTTTGCTTCAATTGATGCCTAACATCGGTAACAACAAATGCAAACTTGCCATTGACATGAAATCCGATAGTAGAAGAAGTCCATTTATTACTTATTTCTCAAAACTTATAAATTCTGCCAATGGAATAATAAATTTAATCCTCACCGTAATAATATGTGGAAACAGCCAAAGTAGAATGGAAGAAAAAAAAGAAAAATTATATCAAAAGTTATAAAAATTATAACAATGAAAGGATAAAAAATATTGCAAAAATAATAATAATAACCTTAGCAGTTATATTTAAAAATTCACCACAAGCCTTGATCATTGCTGAAGTTGTTAGTTTAAATAAACTTATTCGTTCATTTATTAATCGCGTCGTATCGGGTATTTCCAATTCATTTAACGTCTTCAATAATTCATTTCCATGTTTTGCTGCAAAAAAAAATAGAATTTTTGAAAATTTAATTTATACTATTTATATCTACTTATATTCAGATAAGCAAAAATGAATGAAATAAATTAATTGCATGCAAATAAGTATCAACCTCTTAAACTATTTAAGAACAACTAATTTAACCATAATTTTTAAAATTATTAAAGTAATAGAGTAAATAAAATTTAAAAAATAACTAACCAATAAGTGAATTACAAGTGCGAAGATCTTCAATTTTAGCTGATAAAACTTGACTAAATGAATCGATTTTACCAGTTTTATCCAATATATTATTTATTTTTACAACTTCCTCTTCATCTGTAAAATAAATTATAATTATATAATAATTATAATTAATTATAATTATAATTAGTTAAAAATAATAATATAATAGTATAATAGCTAATCCTCTTTTTCTAAGAGCGCTTACCTATTGCTGGTTAAACTCATCCCGTTGGCTTGTCGGACCCGACAAATTTTGCCAGAAAGTCATTCGGTGATACGAATAAAAATGAGTAACGTGACGAGTTAATAACAGTGATAAATAATGATAATAATTTTAAAAATTATGCTATGTAAAAGAAAAAGAAAATATTATAATAAATAACAATAAAAATAATGATAAATAACAATGAATAAATGATTAATAATAACTGATAATAAACAATAATAGTGGTTAAGAATAACAATAATAACAATGACAATTAATAATTAATAATTATATAATAAATAAAATAAAACAAGAAATAATAAATAATAAAATAACAATGACAATGAGGTAATGATAATAATAAATAGTAATAATGATAATGAATAAATGTTAATAAAAAAATATTATTAATATTATTTTAAAAATCAATAATTTCAAAGTTAGGATTATCAATATTAGTATTACTATAATAATATTATAATAATGACTAAAAATAATAAAAATTTTAAATAAATTAAAAATTCAATATTGGTGAAATAGTAAAATAAATTGAAAAAAAAGAAAATAGAAAAAATATAAATAAATTACCTGATTCAGCATTTGTAATAGCTCGATGTCGTATATATTCTAAAGTATTTAACCACTGCTGACGATCAAATTCATTCTGTGCTTTAAGGTGATAGGTTTGCGATAAAGCTGATATCGTTAAATTATTAGTTAATTTATCAATATGTATATGAGCCTCTTGCAAATTTATACTTCCACGACATAACTGGCCAACTTCCGACTGATTACTAAAATAAATAAATATTTCAGTTGTATTTTTTAAAGAGTTATCGTTACTGGTTAAAATCGCTCCACTTGTCTCATTGGTCAAATATGCCAGGGGTCCCTTGGCGATAGAAATATAGATGAGTCGCCAGCATCACCCGGATTTTCGTACATGTTTACTCTTGCAGGGGACCTCAGCACCGGTGCTTCTGAACGAGCAACAATCCACTGAGCCATTCTATCTCTTTATTTAATTTATTTTTTTATTTATTTTATATTATATTATATTTTTTGTAAATTATGCGTTTCTATTCAAAGGATAGAAATTTAAAAAAATCCCTATAATTTCTTCACGTTGCATAGATCAGAAACCAAGCAATTTAAGGGTTCTGCGCTGTATCTTAATAAAACCTATTCTTAGGATCTCTTTACAAAGGTGAAGCATTGAAACGTTGCGCAACTAGTTGACTCTCAATTAGATAGATCGTAGATCATCTACCGATTTACGATTTCCTTATAATTTGCATACGTCCTCTCTTAATAATTCGCATACGTCCTCTCTTATTAGGTAAAATCAAGCAGAAAACAAATCCAACAATTCCAGATTCATTTTCTTCATTTTCTATGCAAGACAGCAGCAGCTCGTAAATCTTCACGAAATTTTCGTATTTGAAGCAAAATTGGTTAGGTAAGCGCATAAAGTAATTAACCTCCCTTTTGGGGATTTGAAATATTTTTTACCAAATTAGCCACAAACCTTAACCAACTTGGTATTCCATCATATATTTTTAAATATAAATTTGTAATATTCTGTAATATTTAAAATTTATCTATGAATTAAATGAAATACATGAAACACACCGCGAATTAGACGAATACTATTAATAATTCTAAAAAACCCAATACAATTTATATTTTATAAAAGAGAAAATACTATGTTTTTTACATTATTATTTTAAAAAAATTCAAAAAAAACTCATGCATAATCATAATTTTAGAATTTAGAACAATTTTGATAGAAAAAATTAGTATAAAAACAAAATATAAATATACAAAAAAAAACAAATAGAATGTTAAATATAAAAAATAAAATAAAAAATGTAAGATAAAAATACCTCTTGAAACCATATAGACAAACCAAATAGCGTTTTTTTACCGTTTGAAATCGCTTTTTAAAAGTCATAATCAATCAACAGCAAGTAATATACATATATATATGTATATATATCTTGAGAAAATTACAATATATTATTACAAAATTACAATTAATTAATTAATTAATTGATAAAATTTAAAGTGAAATCTGCCGTTTACACTATAATATACAATCTACTGACACATCCGAAAATGAAAATATCTAAAATTTCTATCTATATCCCCCTTTTACTTTTATAATAAATAATATTATATTGGTGATCGCACAAAAAAACTCCTATAGGAATCTTTCAACAATTTTTTTCAACCTGAAAAATTTTTAAAAAATTTAGATTATTCTAATTCTTGTAATCCTGAACTACACTAATCAAGAATCCATGAGCCATCTCATGAAAAATATCCGATTGGACAATCTTTGCAATAAACAGGTCACGATCATTAGGCATATTATATACATTATATACAATAAACAATAAATTTCAAATTAGATCATAATAATAAAATCATCGCATAAAACTTTGCAATAATTTCTTAGTATTTAGAAAATAAAATCATGAAAAATACTAAAATAAAATAATATTTGGATGAAAAATATTTTAAAAATTTAAAATTTCCATAAATTTTTTGAAAATATGCTTTAAAAAATATTTTCCTTAAAATATTTCTTATCTTATCAAAACTAATAAAAAAAATTTTTTTTATAGTGATTTAAAAAAATAAAAGGAAATTAAATCATTAAAAATAATTATAATATTTACCAAATAAAAAAAAATGATATCACTTGAAAAATATTTCAATAAACTTAATAAAATAAACATGTGATAAAAGCAAACACAAAGACGGCTTTTATCATTGAGAATTTTTATTATGCATTAATAATTTAGCACGATTAAAAGCGAAAAAATTTCGATAAATTCTTAAAATTTAATAAAAATAAAAAATAAGAAAAAAATGATAATATTTATAATAAAAAAATTATAATAAAAATAATAATGGTAATAATAACAATAATAACAATAGTGTATAATAACTGGTTAAATTTTCACTTATTTAGTGAAATGTAAGTAAAAGAAAGCGGTTATACGTAATTTAGGTTAGGTTTTGGTTAGGTTAGTTCTGCTGGTTGTTAGTATAAAAATAAAAATATTCGCTAGAGCTACTTGGATTACAAAAGTACTATAAGTAAATTACCAAAATCGCCCGGATTTTTTTAAATGATAGAGTTATTCGAAACCTTTTCCTTTTCTTTCCGTAATCTGAATCGTTATCCGCTCCATTTGGCTATGTTTACTTATTTTTTAACTGATGTATGTTTGCTTTGATTTTAAAATAGAGTGCATTGCCAACAAATCTCCGATTAAATAATGAATATAATTAACATTATTAATAAGAAAAAAATAAAATCAATCGAAACGAAAAAGCCAAATGAAATGAATTTGAAGTAGAAAATTTTCGAAAAAATAAAAATACATTAATAAATAAATAATTTTCGAAAATATGCAATAAGAAATATTTATTTTATTATTTATTATTGCAATAATTTGCAGTAATTAGCAAAAGCTGCTTAACTGCAAATAATAAAATAAATAAAATCAAAAATTCGGATAAAATTATCATAACAAATAGTAATAATGATAATAATAATCAATAACAATACGAATGATAATAATTCAATAAAAACGACTTATTTATAATAATTTCGATATTTATAATAAAATGTAAATGATAATAAAAAAATCATTCAAGCTTAAAAAATGTTCAAAAATTTTAACAAAAAAAAAAAAATATAAAATGTTAATGAATGATAGATTACACAGAAATTTTTTTATAAGTCAATGAATAAACAATGAGGTGGAAATAAAAGTGCTAAAATTATCAATGATAAGAAAATATGTAAAACAAAATGATAAAAACACTGATCAAATGAAGAAAAAATTGCGAAATTTTGAAAAATTTATGAAATTTGTGAAACTAATAATTACAGTTAAATTTATATTAATTAATACAGCGAGAATATCACGGATTAAATTAAGTTGTTTAGATTAATAACAAAAAATTGTTATAAATAAATAATTAGAATTTAATAAATCCACTCTGAGCAAATATAAATCTTAAAAAAATCCAGAAATTATAAAATAAAGAATTCAACAAAGAATAAAGCAAAAATTAATAAAGGATTCGCCTATAAAAAAACACGGAAATTAAATTTGTATATCAATAACATTAAAATTATAAAGTTAGTAAAAATAATAAAATTAATAAAAAAAATTGATAAAAAATAAAATTAAAAAATACAAAAAAAAATAATATACATTTTGAAGAAAAATTGAAAAATCTAACCGATAATAGCTAAGAATAGCATTTGAATCGAGTACAAACCAACGCTGTCGATAACCTTTTAAATAATTCGTCCATTTTTGTAACCAACCACTTTTTTCCTCGGTTGCAATACGCGTTAAATTTGTATTTGTTGAAAAACGTTGTTGCTGTTGATGACTAGTTGCTGTTGGCATTTTTTAAAAAAAATTTCGAAAAAAAAACAAGAACAATCTGAAATTTTCCATAGTGAATGAATTTTGCAAAAAATTTTTCCATAAAATTTAATCTTTTTTTCTAAAAGCGCTCAGATTTTCTAGTAAGACTCGCCTACACTGGTTTATTGGAATAATTAAACTTTGCTTGGGAAATATAGGTGAATCGCTAATATGGTCCGGATCTTCTAAAGAAAGATGTATATATATCTTAAATAGAGCCTAGCACTCCAAAATGAGAGTTCCGCTGAGCCACTCATAGTTTCTTATCAAAATCACAGAAAAATTGAAGGAAAGAAAAAAATAAACGTACCTATTCTCCAAAAAAATTTAAACTGTTGAATGAATAAGCAAATGAAAAAAATATTGAAACAACTAGGTCATTCAACCAACATCTATGAAAGAATTTTCATTAAAATTAAAATTTTATCATTTATAAAAATCTTAATGAACATTTATGATCAGATTTGTGATAAGATGAATTAACAAGAAAAATTTTTTGAAATTAGTAAATTTAAATTGAAAGATTGATAACTGAAATTAAACTTCTTTTTAAAAATCTTAAATTTTTAAATTTTAAAATTAAAAATCACAATTAAACATAATTATAAAAACCATTAAATAAATTAAAATATAAAAATAAAAAAATTTTTATATTATAGAATTTTATATTTTAGAATATTTTTAAAAAATTTTAAATATATAAATATAATAGAAAACATTTAAATATTAAATATTAAATAAAAAACGAAAATAAAAATTATACACATAATTAAAACTAAGATAAAACACATAATTAAAATAAATAAGATTTGATTAAAATTTGATTAAAAGAAAAATGCAAATAATAATAATAAAATAATAATAATTATAATAATAAAAATATGCATAAAAAAGAATAAATAAAAATAAAGAAACATAAAAAATTAATAAAAATTTTTTATTCGAAATATTTGCTTATAAATGTTTATACATAAATAAATAACATTAAATAAATAAATAAATAAAATAAATAAAGAAAATGGGAAAAATCAAAGTAATTAAGCAATTATAAATAATTTAAAAAGTAAAAATCAAAAATCGAATCAATTAATCAAAAATTTGGAGGGAAAGAAATAAAAAAAACTAAAAAATAACTTTTGCTTCCGTTAAAAAAAATTATTTACAAAAATAATTTAATTTTTTTAATTGTATTTTTAATGAAATTTATTGAATTTTACTCATTTATTAAAATATAAAAATTTTTCATAATCGAAAGAAAGTATTTTTATTTATTTATTTATTTACTTTTTTTTTTTTAAAATCAAATTAATTAATTGGTTAAATTTAATGGTAAAGAAAAATTGAAAAAGTTTATTAAAATACATAACCACTTTTTTTAACACTTTTTTTACTATTCGAATTATCTACTTTAATTATTTAATTTATTTTTTCTTTAGTAATTAATAATTATTAAAAATTTTAATCAGTTCTAATTAAAATTAAAAATTAATTAAATCAATTAATTAAAATTAATTAACTGATCTAAACATTTTTTAAATATTTTAAATTTTATGCTTTTAATTCCATTTATTTATAAACCCCAAAAAAATTCGGCGAAAATAATGAAATTTTCGAAATAAAAATTTTTATATCAACAAAAATTTGGAATAAAAAAAAGATAAAAGTGATTAAAATCAAATTCATTTTTTAAAAATTTATTTTACACTCTATAAAAAAATTTAAATAAATTAATTTTTAAAAAAAAAGAAAAAAAATGAAAAAAAGGAATGAATTTAATGAAATAAAAAATTAATTGTATATGAAAATTCAAATTTTATTAATTAAAATTTATTAATTTAATGAAATTTTAATGAAATAAATCAAATCAAAATTTGCAAAAAAAATTTAATAAAATAAATTTTAGAAAAAAAAATTCTTTTTTAAATAAAATTTAAATTTCATATTAAAATAATTTTATTCATTTATAAATTAGTTTTGAAAACTCATCATCATTTCATCATCGTTCAATTTCTACTAATTCCTCTAATTTGTTTTCCATCATATATTCCTCATTTTCTCGTTCCTCTTCCTCCATTGACCTTTCATCTTCCACCTAACCTTTGCTCTTTCATCCTTTTGCAACTCTCCACTCTCTACTATATTCAAAACAAAATAAAACGGAACGACTTATTTTGCAAGGATATTTGAAAAAATATATTGCAAATGATTCAAATCAATAGAAAAAAGCACCGTAATCGTAAAATCGTTTTAGAAGCCAACTCAACTTTAATTTTAGCTTCATCGATATTTTTTATGCTTTTGCCTAAAATTAAATTAATTTCATGTTTAAAACTTTTCTTACGGCATTTGCATGATGTGTTATTGAATTGCTTTTGTACTATACTGTTTGATTTGCGCTGTCCGACGCTTGTGGGTCGTCCGGGTGCTCGTCGGTTATCCATCACTCGTTAGTTATCCAGCACTAGTCTGCTCTCCAATGTTTATCGCTTATTCGTTATCTTATTCGTAATGAAAAATTGTGCAGCACTTTTCGGTTATCCTATGCCTACCAGTTATCCAAGGCTTATCGAATAATCCAGCCCTTATCAGTTCCCTACTAGCTACGAGTGATCATCACTTATTGATTGTCCAATATATGTCGCTTATCCGAGTACCTGTCCATTATGCACTATTTGTCGGCCATTCTATATTCAACTTCGCTAACGTTTGAAAAAAAACCCCGCGAACGAGGGCGGTATGACTGTGAAGGTTCTAATCTTGTTTAGCAGATGATCCGCTAAAGCAATGGAAAACCTAGTTTTAATTTGTGTTGTGGTAGCCTGTGGTACCGACGAACTACAAACCAACGAACGAAAATATTTACAAAAATAATGCTAATTGACTTTATAAGATAATGCGACAGGTTTTGAGAGGTATTAGCGATTAACCAATGTTCGTATAGTTGTTAAAATATCGAGGTGTAAAGAAAATATAAGTTGTTTGAAGTAAACAATTAGAGGTTTGGGAGTCTTCAAAAAATATAACGGAATGAGGAATAGAACGGGGTTTGGGAGGGTTTTTAAGAGAGTGTGGAAAAATTTTGGAATTTTAAGATATTAATAAATACAATGATTTTAATCTACTGAAGATGTTTTTTTTCTTTATAATAATATAATTAATAATAGTATTGATAGTAATAAATAAATGATAAGAATTTATCAGTGATTGAATGAATGATGTGATGGTTGACATTTAATAATAATATTTAATATTTATATTTAATGTTTAATAATAATAATAACTGATAGCAACAACAGGTGATAATAAAAATAAATAACAATGATAATAAATAATATTAAGTAGTAGTGATTAATAAAATATATATGTTTATATAACAAAATGAAATAAATGGTTTGCTCAAATACCACCAATTAACAATGTCGTAATAGAGTGTCGCTGGTTAGGCCATATTGTCCATAGTCATAATTCAGAGGAACTGACCTGTCTAATTGCTAAACCCCGTATTAGATGGCCTGAAAAACGAGGAGGAATAATCAAGAACTATGCTGATATAGTCAGATTTTGAATATATAAAGGGATTTTGACGGAGAAAGGAATTCTTGAAAATTTGAAAATTTTGGATCAAAGGACCAGCAAAGCCAGTTTAATCAGTAATTTTGTGAGTCATTTGAGAGTTAATTTTAAAAAATAGCTTTTAAATTCAAAAAAATGTGCCTAACAACTCTCACCATTTCCGACTAGGCTCACCGCTTGGCTTATCCTCATCGCATTCTTCTAATGATTACTGCTGGCTAAGATATCTCCAAGCTGTTCGATCATATGCCATCGCTGGCAACAGCAATAGAAGCCATTGCTTTTCCTATCGTATAAGTGTCAACCCATACGTTTGGAACCTTTCCTGATTATATTCGTCGAGATCTTGATTGGCTCTCCTTACTTTTGGTGCCATCCATCAGAGGCTAAACGAATTGTATGTCAATCCCTGTGGTATGCGACGAAGAACGTGCCCTAACCGATGAAGTCGACGCTCTGTAATATCATTAATGCAAGTGATGTATAAGTGAAGATGGATGCAGTCATGTTAGATTTTATCCGCGTGTGATATCTTACACTTGAGTGGTCAAAGGAAGATAATATCCTCCACTCTCATCGGTCATGTCTTGTAATGTCTTTTACTATAGCAAGACCGAGCCAGTTTGATAAATAGACGCGGTCTTTTGTTTTTATGGTCGAAGAATCTGGTATAATTTGGAAGAAAGATTTGGAAGAAATGTCGGCGTAGAGGACAAATGAGAGAAATATAAGGGAATTCGGAATAGGACGAAGTATTGATGGATCCTTAGCACTAGTTGAATTTCTATCAACATTAATAGAGTAGCCAAAGAAGAGGAAGCAAGGAATATGAATAAAATCACCTATATTGGCCTAATTTATGGAAATATATCGCTTAGTTGTCCTCCATCTGTCGATTTATATTCATACGAAAATCATTTCGCCTATTCCATTCGAATTTTTTTTTTTTTCTTAGAGCCCTACACTCCGTCGCACTGCACAAATATGCCAGGAAATCTCTTGGCGATAGGAATTATCAGGTGAGTCAACGGCATCATCCGAATTTTCGGACAGATTTACTCCTGCGGGAATAAGAACCACCTCGATGCTCCGTATTGTTACCAGTGTTTAATGAGAAATCATTTCTTCTCATACATTTTCCTTTTTTCCTCCCATTCCATCATTAGTTTTATAGTTTAATATTCGCTATTTATGATTATGGGCTATTATGGGCTATTATAGACATTTCTAAGCCACAGAGTCACATAGTGTGATAAGTGATAAGTGACCTTCAGCGCATTCGGTTTTTTTCATGATAATTCAAGATTGATCATTCCATGGAAAGGAAGGGAAAGAGAGGAGAGGGAAGGAAATGTGGAAAATAAATCGTGATATAATCAAAGCATTATATGATTATTGTTTGTTCCTATTTAATTTTAAATTTTACTGGAATTTTTATAGTATTAAAATAATCTAACTGGTAATCTGATGTAATTTGAATTCGAATTAAACGAGTAATTTTATCAAAACAACTAAAATTTTGATGAATTTTACTAAATAATTTTTATTAAAATCCAATATTAACGATTAGTGATACGAGTCGAACCATTAATAGTGAGTATTCTTCGAGAAAAGAAGCTAAAACTATAGTTCGTTATAGTGGTACTCTGCTGCAAATTTTTCTCGGCACTACAACGAACAGTAAACCTATCTTTCAAAAATATGGGTTATAGCTAGCGATTCATCTCTATTTCTGCCGAGTAACTCACTCGCAAAAAAATTCATCTGGTTCAATAGACCAGTGGAGCGAGCTGAACCACTAATGGTGAGCGCTGTTAAAAAAAACTGTCACTATTAGTTATCATAAATTATTAAATGGTGAATTTTATCATTCTTTACGAGAAAAGTGTTATTATTTATCATAATAAACATTAAATGATAAGCTTTATTAAGAATAATCAGTTGTTTTTTAAAAAATCTTCATTTAATAATATTATTAATAATATTATTTATAATTAATTATATTAATTGAATTAATAATATTTTTTCCAATTTTTAAAATTTTTTCAATTTGATTTTAGCTAATTAATTTTCTAGTTAATTATTTATCTGCGAAAATTTCCTTTTCTTTCCTCTATTTTTCTTTTTTCCTTTTCCTTCTTCATTTTCAATTCATTTTTTTTGCCAAATTAAACTGTATGAACTGGTGTTAATAAAAGTATTGCGTTCAAATGAACCAAATTTTTATGCCATTTTCTATAGTAATGTTTTTTTTTTCGTTAAGGCAATTTCGCTGATTTATTATCATTATCTTTTATTTATAAATGAACTACAAATCAAAACAAGGTTATTATCGAATGAATTCTTTTTTCAATATTCTTAGGCTGATTTAGTGATTTTCCAATATTTCTCGGCTGATCTGATTTCTAGGCCTATCAATTTCACCGACCACTAAGATACTGAAGATACTCTTATTTGCCAAAGTATCACTACTGGAGAGAAATATAAATGAGTTCTGAGTTCTTAGCACTTGAATTGTCACCTGGATTTTGCTTTTATTGACACGCTTATTGTTGTTAAAAAAACGGAGATCGAATTTTTATTGGCTTCTGATCATAGTCAAAATAGTATACCATATCTTCTTATATATAAATTAAACGAGGTAAAAAATTAGTGATAATTGATAAAATAAGGACAAATTGATAATTGATAAAACTGGGATAATAGTAGTGATACGGTAATTTTGTTGTGGTTTTATCTTGATTTTATTATTATTTAATAATAATAATGAAATATTCTTAATCTTAAATTTAAGGTGTATTATGTTCAACTCGATTGCATTTAGCATTACTCGGTTTCATGGGTGTTATGATGGTTTATGCAATGCGTAGTAGCCTTAGCTTTTCTATTGTATGTATGGTTAATTCAACTGCGATTGATATGCAATTATCATTGACTGATAATCAGACACGAATAACACATTCATGTGATCGAATTATTGAAGAATCTAACGAGGATAAGGTTATTCTTTTCGTAATATTTTTAATTTTAAAATTTATTTCCTTTAAACCTTTAAACCGTTAACCGTTGAGTCCATAAATCCTTGTTTTTAATCCTCTAAATAACGGATTTTCGCGTTAATTTCAACATTCTTATCTTAATTCACTTACTTAATTCTTAGAAATTTGTTATTAAAATCATAACTCTTAGAAATATAGCCTAAGCCCTTAGTATCGGAATCGAGTTAGAAATTTCAAGTCTGTTCTTGAAGCTTCAAATAAATATTGATTTTCAGTCCGGAATTCCACCTATAAATCTGAATTAGAAACCTTAGCGTTTAAGGTCAGATTGTTTTCTAGTAAAATTCAGTTATTTTTAATTCACTTATTTTTTTAATAGGTAAATGGAACACTTATATGGCCAAAATCAGTTCAAGGATCAGTATTGAGTGCATTTTTTTGGGGATATACTTTTAGCCAAATTATAAGTGGTTATCTGGCAAGCTTATATGGTGCAAAACTTGTTCTCGGTGCTAGTATGTTATTTGCTTCATTATTGACGTTGATAAGCCCATTCGCTGCTCTAAAAAGTGTTTATTTGTTTTTGGGAATTCGTGCTCTTTTAGGATTTTTCCAGGTGTTTATATTATTTGTCTTCTTTCTTCTCTTTTGTTTCTTTTATTTATTTTTTTTTCGAGGACTCTCACCACTTTTGGTTAACCTCACTGGTTTTTGGGGCCAAACTTTGCCAGAAAGTCACTGGCGAATCACTTAGCGGTAAAAATGGAAGTGATTCGCCAGTACTGATGGATTTTTTAAAGACAAAGTTTACTCTTGCGGGGAGTAGAATTTCATCAGCATCGATGCACCGACCGAAATGATGGCAGTGGTTATTCTGTGTTGTTCTACATCTCAGTTTTATCAATAATTTATTTCCAGGGCTCCACATTTCCTGCATTTCATACGTTATGGTCAGTTTGGGCTCCGCCATTAGAACGAAGCCTTCTAACTGGGATTAATTATGCTGGTTAATTTTCTTTTAATAATTTTTATGATTAATCCAAATAATTTATTTATTTAATATTTGACACATTTGATTAAAACAACGCAGGAAAATGAGAAAATAGCAATTTTTTAAAAGAAAATTTAAAATGTTTTTCAAATTTTTGAATTTAAAAGTTTAAATTAATATAAAAAATTTTTGAAATTTAGGAGGACAATTGGGAAATGTTTTGGTGATGCCTTTGTCTGGGTTTCTTTGTAAATATGGTTTTGCTGGTGGATGGCCTTCTATTTATTATATTTTGGGTAAATTTAAATTTATTATTAAAATTTTTTATCAACAATTAACTTTGTATTTTTTATAAAATTTATAATTTACATCATATTATGAAATTTTTATTTTAAAATTATATGATTTATGAAAGAAAAAGAAGAATGAAAAGTGATTCTTAGGATTTTAGGTTTTGGTGGATTGATGTGGTGTTTTTTATGGTTTTATTTCGCATCAGATACGCCATCACGTAACCGGCGTATTACTGGTGAAGAACGAAAATATATTGAAGAATCGCTTAAAGAGACTTTAATTAAAAATTCGTCGCAAAAGGCTCATCATTTTATATTCATTTTAATTTATTTTTATAGGTCACACCAGTTAAGGATTATTAATTAAATCTTTTAGTACTTAATAAAATCGGTAATGAAAATTTCATCAACAAAATTTGTATATATTCTTTTCTGAAAATTTTTCACTAAATTCTGTTGTTATAAAAAAAAAATTTTTTAGAAATTCAAAATTCCTTGGCATGAAATATGCACTTCTGTTCCTGTTTGGGCTACAATAATTGGTCATTTCGCTGGAGATTGGGGTTCTTATATGATGGTGACAAGTCTACCGCTTTTCATGAATGATGTCTTCGGCTTTGATCTTTTTTCTGTTTGTTTTTTATGATTTTTTTTTTTTTGCTGGTTAGAGTGGAGGAGTGGAAATTATTCATTCGTTCATTCATATGATTTGCCATCTTGGTTTTGAAAAAAAAAGATAAATATTTTTTAGCTTGGATTTCTATCGGCTATTCCATATATTGCTTATTTTGCTTCCATAAATATTGGTGGTATCGTATGCGATAAATTGCGAAGCGCTGAAATTTTATCAACAATAGCGACACGTCGTCTTGCGATGTGTCTTGGTATGTAAATTTTTTAGGTGGCTAGATTCTTTCGAAAGAAATTTTTAAAACGACTTATTTTCAGGATTGGGTTGTCAAGCGATTTTTTTAATATTGTCAGGGTATTGCGGTTGTAACCAGGAAACTTTAGTTGTTGTGTTTTTAACCTTGAGTATTGGTATGTCCGGCTTGCAATATGCTGGATTTGTTGTCAATTATCTTGATATTGCGCCTAATTTTGCTGGAACTTTGCTTGGAATAGGCAATACGCTTTCTTGTCTTGCTGGTTCATTATGTCCTTTGCTTGTCGGCTGGCTTACCCCAAATGTAAGTTCCATTTCTTTTCTTTTTATTTTAACGAAGCTGCTTAATTTCATTCTTTTTGGAAAAATTGTGCACTTGTGTATAATTAGTCTTAATTACTTCTCATTTATATAAAGGGGACAAAAGAAGAGTGGCAACTTGTTTTCTGGATAACTGGCGCGATCCTCATTATTGGCACATTGATTTTCTCAATATTTGCCAAAGGAAATATTCAACAATGGGCTCGTATTGATAATGACGATCAGAACGAAATAGAACAGTGAACAAGAATTATATGTTGAATTGTGCATCATTTGTTTCTGGTGGAAATAGCTGGAAAAATTCCAGTTGATAACAATTGATAAAAATCGGTGATGTTGTAGACTAAACCCAGTGACCCGTATTTTTAATTAAAATGTCTAAACACTAATCATAGTTTAAATTATAACATTTACCATTTTAAGCTTAAATATGTAATTTTTTATTATAATTCATAAACTTTAATTCATAATTAACTGATTAACATTTATAAAAATTTTATGAGCGAAATTCTTGCAATTAATTAAAAAATTCTGGCATTATTATGTCAATTTTAATTTAATAATGTAATTTTTATTGCTCATTTCTGCGTGGAATTTTTCTAAAAAATTTTATAATCTATAAAAATTTTGTTAAAAAAAAAGTTTATTTTTATAAATATTAAAGAGTAAAATAGAAAAAGTAGAAAGAGTAAAGCATCAATACTTGGGTTCTACTTCCGGCAAGCATAAACCTGTTTTTCAGACCTGTTTTTCAGAAAAAAAAGCCGAGTTCTGCACCTATATTGCTGTGGCCAAGTGATTCCCCTAGCAAAATTTGTCGTGTTCGATTAAGCCAGTGAAGTAAATTAGCCGAAAATGATAGGCGCTCTTTAGAAAAAAAAATAGAAAAATAGAAAAAAATAGAAAAAATAGAAAATAAGTGTATAAAAATATATTTTTGAGTAAAATTCGAGTAAAATTTATAAAATTTCTAGTAAAGTCTGTAAAAATTTTTTTTTTAAAGTTTCATTAATTTTTTATAGCTAAAATGGAAAAAAGTAAAGATTGCAAAAAAAGTCTCTGTGAGGTATAAAAATTTTGATGCTACCAGATAGCTAATTTTCAAACGAATAGTAAATCAAAAAGGGAAATATTTTTTTTGCACTAAAAATTTATCGTTTAGGCACCAAAATTTATTTTTTAATCACCGAAATGTAACCGAAGTTTACTTTTCAGTCACCAAAGTAAGCCTGAAATTCATTTTTTAAACACTAAAATAAAACTGAAATTTAGAAATTTATTTTTCAATCACGAAAATAAAACTAAAAGATTAACGAGAATCATAATAATATTAATTTCTACAAAATTAAAATATTTATTAAAATTAAAGTACAAAAAAATTTCATTTGCTTAGTTGATGAAACACTTTAAAAAATTCAAATTGATAGAAGTGGATGCTTATCGCTCTTATCACTATTTTATCACTGCTTTATCATTAAAATATTTATATCTTGAAATATGTTTATATGCAACCATTTAAAAAATTTTTCTTCGTTTTTTTTAAATTAAACTTCGATTACTAGCGATAAATATCCAAAAAAAACAGCTATATTCTCGTTTATCAAAGATCTTTGAGAAATTTGTCAAATGCAATTATTAATATTATAAAAATGACAAAAAAAATTTAGTTAATTTAATTGTATTTGGCAGCCATATAAATATAATTTTAAAATTTAAAATATAATTTTAGGTAAAAATATAATAAAAACAATAATAACAATAACAAAGTATGAAAAAAATATTATAGCGTTGGTGCTGAACCGTTGAACTTAATGACATTTCTGCCGCAAATGGTTGAAGAGCTGAAATAATGTAATAGATGAAAAACACGAGACAAACTATGAGATAAATTTGAGATCCTGAGGATCCCGAAAAAAAATTTCAGCTTGTATTGAAAGGATGTAAAGGAAAAAAATCTGCTATGTTAATAATAAATTGTAATAATTTATATTTTCAAAATTAATTAATTAAGAATCAGCTTTATCAGTTAAAATAGTTTGATATTTTGATATTTTAAATTCGGAGGCTAAAATTATTCAACCTTCTTGAAACACGGGTTCAACGTGACGATAACTTATATAAGGCCCTTTACGATAGCGTTCCGACCAAGGATTCATTCGTAGCTCGATGAGGAGCCAATTCGAATCGCTTATCATTGCTTTACCGTTTAATTGTGATAGATTTTTACATGAAATTCTGGAAGAGAAAAAATTGAAATAAAATTTTATTTTATTTATCAATGAAGACGACCTTTCAATGACCTCTGTTTGACCATTCCTACATATTTCCTGTACATAAGATATTTATCATATTTATCATAATCATATCACATATCATGTAAATAAATATAAATAAATAAGTCGTATGAAGTTTAAGAATTTTGGAGTGAATGCAAAGTGATAGTATAGTTTTAAAAAATAAAATTTTCCTTGAAAATTTGAAAATATAATTAAATATAGTTACTTCTCTTCAATATCAAGAGTTCCCCAAATAAGTAGTAGATCATTGCAAAATTGACTCAACGGCACAGAATCTGTATCAATATCAATTTCATTGATAACAAATTCGATTTTATATTCTGGTGGTGCTCGAATCAACCACTGACAAAAAATTCCACGATTAATAGATTCCGGATAAGTGCTGGAATAAATTTATTAGTAAGCAATAGCTAAGATTAATGGCTCAGATTAAATGGTCTTGTTCAAGGCAAATTATATCGATCATGTAATTATAATTCCAAAATAAAAATTATTTATTACGTTGAAAATATGGCACCGTTTTTCTTCAGCTGAAATTCTCACCATTACTGGTTAGACTCGCTCCACTGGCTTGTTGCCCTAGACAAATGTACCAAGAAATACTTTGATCAGGTTAAAATAATACTCGTTGAAGTCTATTACGTATTTTTGATTAAAAATTTCTTCGGAATTGCTTTCAGTTTTTTTTAGCTATGATGCTGATGTTCTACTCTTTGCAGAAATAAACCAGCTTGGTGCAGTCGACTTATCTATTTTTCTTCTTTCTCAAGTGGGCCAAATGATTCCCTAACAAGATTAACAATTCTTGGTCAACAATTCAACAGAGAGAGGGAGAACCAGAAGAATGCAAAAATAATCGAATTGGTGCAACAAATTATAAATAATAAGAAAAAATGATTTAAAAAAATATTTTTAAAAAGTTCCCTAGTCAATATTTTTCTTTGCCTTATTTTAGGATATCTATCGGGTAAAAATATAATATTTAGAATATCATGCTGTGTATTATTTGCTTGACTGCCCGATGATCCTTCTATTCATAGGTTTTAGGAAAAGGTTTTTAATTTGGTCGGCAGTGAAGCTAAAGAACTAAATCAAAAATGATATGCAATATTTTAAAAAAATTCACCTTATCAAAAGGATTATCACCTTATCAAAAGGATTTTTATCAATAAATTTTAAATTTGCCATTTTTTATCACTAAGTTTAATATAAATCGTTTCAATATCAGTATTTTTATTAACCTTAATGAAATTATTCCATTCGATTTATCATAAATACCACAATTTGAGTCAGTGAAAAGGCGTTGTTTTGTGAGCATTTCGCAACGTTCACCTTCAAATGCATAACCACATTCACATAAACAATTATGGTTGACTTTTCCACCATTTTCACATTCTAGAGAACAATGATCTAAAAATATTTTTATGAATTATTCCATAATTTTCATTATTTTTTTCATTTTTTTATAAATTTATAAGAGAAGCTAAATCTATTTATTATGCATGTTATTGCATTATTGCATGATTTCATAACGAAGCAATCATACCAATTTTTTTAAATTTCCCTATTCCTCTGCCATTACTGGTTTGACTCGCTCCACTGGCTTGTTGCCCGAGACAAATTTGCTAAGAAGTCCTTTGGTGACAGGTGAGTTGCCAGCATTACCTGGATTTTTGAACAGATTTACTCTTATGAGGTAATAGAACCTCAATATCGGCATTCCGATTTGAGCAACAAATCACTGAGCTATTCTATTCTCCTCATTCGAAGAATACTATTGCACAAGGCGTTATCAATACCAATTAGACGTTAATAAGTATTTTTAGCAAATTTCTAATTTCCTACAGGCTATATTTATATGAGAAAGCGAAGAGCCATTTGTCTGTAGTTAATTGGCATGACCTTTCATAACTCAATTGAAGAAAGAGACATATCCTCTTGACCATGACCTTTATTTCTAACACTCCTACCTCTCTCCTATTATTATGCAATCATTTTTACTTGTATAGTAGATTTATTCGTCAAAACGATAAATACTTATGGAATTTTGTTATGATGATTTTAGAAATTTAGTCGTATTATAATAAAGATTGATCTATTGACTATTGACTTCTCAATTTATGATTTCTTTTTATCAAAATTAATAATATAATAAAAATTTTTTTAAACGATTATTCAAATCATTAAGCGTTATAAATCGTCGATTAAATACATGCAACAAATAATCATTTTGGCTTTTAGATGGCATTATTTAGCGCAATCATGTTGTCTTTCATGGATTAAATTAAATTGTTCTAGGATTCGAATTTCGATAATTTTTCATCTAATTTTTTTGTTTTTCAAATATTAAAGCATCAATTCAACAATATTCATCCTCAATAATAAATCTATCTTTTAAAAAATCCAAGTGATACGCATCACTAAATCCTATATTTTTATCGCCAAGTGGGCTCCCTAATAAAATTTGCCTTGCTCGGCAAGTCAATCTAGCGAGTCTAATTAAATGCTGAGTGCCTTAGAGAAAAATATTTAGCTATTCAAAAATTGGCTATTTAAATAAATAAATTCGTTTTTTGAAAAAAAATTATCATTATCACTTAAATATTAAAATTTTATAAAAAATTTAAAAATAAAAAGTTTATGATGATAAAATTTTATCACGAAAAATTTTATTAATTTTCATTAAAATTTTTATTAAAATTATTCAAAATTGCATTTGCTAATTACTGATCTGGAAAATTCAAAAGAAAAAAAACGACGATATTTTAAACACTCCATAAAAATTTTTAAATCAAAACTATTTTTTAAAAAAAGATGATAATGATAAGAATAGGATCTTATCAAGGAAATATCTAAGCTAATTGAATTTGATTTCTTAAAATAAAAATAAAACTACTTAGAAGAATATAATTTAGCCAGTTGGGTAATTAAATCTGAACTGTTATTGTTCTCGTCAAAGAAAGGTTCAAGAGGGCATTGCCTCGATGATTAATTAGCATTAGCGGGATTTAGAATATAATAATCGGTGTACAATTTCGTTATTTTCATAGATGATTAGATAATTACTAAATTTATTAACGATAATTAGTGTCTCTCTTCAATACCTGTACAATTATACGTTTTATTAATTCGGCGGATAAGATCCGAAATATGATTCGATTTTTCAATTCCAAGAACATGTGATATTATAAAAGGGCAAGTATCGACCTGAAATTAAATTTATTATTTTATAAGTTAATTAGATTTAAGCCGTTCAAGTGACGCAAGAAATATAAATTTTGTCATTTTGTTTTACTACTTATCACTTATCACCAATCACAAAATTGGAAGAAGAAATTTTAAGAAATATTAAATATTTGTGATGTAATATATTGAAAATAAAATATATTTTTGCCTTCCTTACATTAGCACATTTCTCATTCAAATGAACCGTCGAATTTGCTTGTTGCCACGAACAATACCTAGAAAAAAAAACGTTTTTTATTTATTTATATTAAGAACACATACGAATGAAGCGTTGAAAAATAATCATTCTCTTCTCTTAAATCTCTTAAAATGATCCACATTAACCGATATTGTCTTATTAGAGATCCAATGGTCTACTCATATACACGTTTTTCTACACGTGAAATCACGTATAGTGGATTCGATTTTTGCCCCTTGACGGGTATTGACGGGAATTATTAAAGCAAAATCCATTTGATAGTGGAAATCTACATGTAAAATCTCCTAAATGATTTGCTCAGTAGTTCGTGGAACTAGAAACGATGCGTGCTACTATAAAATACCTTAATTTTATTATATTATTAGGAAATTTAATTACATGCATAATTCAAAAGAAAATTATCACTCCACTCATTTATTTATTTTAGTCAAACATTAATAGCGAATTAGAAGAACTATATTATCTTTATTGTCTTTTTTTTTTTTTATAAATGAAATGTTAAAATTTTTTTATAAATTTCATTTTATATTAAATTTTAAATTATATAAATTTTTTTTTAATTATAAATTTATGGAAATTTTATGCATTATTAGAAATATATTTTAGAAAATAAATTTGAATATAATAAAAAGAAAATCAAATAGAATATAAATCAACTAACAATAAATGAATATAAAAATAGATATCGAAGAGACTTATGCTAATGAAATCCCTAAAACAAACTTATTATATTACTCGATAGAGTTATAGTTAGTTGACAAACAAATGACAAATGCCAAATAACAAATAAACCTACGTAGATTGTTGAAAAAATATTGCATTTGTAGGTTGCATTTCGAAACGAATGCATGTTTCCGCCATTATTTTTGCCATCGCATCCTCAATGCATTTATTCAATAAAACATCTAAAATTTAGAAAATTCCTTATGAATAGATTAAATTGCTTTTTTTTCCAGAAAAATTTTTCTAGATAATAAATTTCTATAAATTCTTTTTTTTCCCTATTCAGATTGGTATTATTGTCAAGAAATCACTATTTAGCAATGATTATCATTGTTATCAATCATTATCATAGTGATAATGTTGTCTATCAGCGATTTTTTAATCATATCGCTTAAATTTTAAAGGCTATATATCAGCGAATAAATTCATTTAAATCTTCCTTTTTTTTTCATTCATAGCTTTTTCCAGTTATCTAAAAAATTTAATTATAACTTTTGGAAATTTTCGAATTAATGCCCTTAGGCATTGATTGAAAAATTATAGGAAATGATAGGAAAGACATAATATGTATCATTGTGATTGATTCTGATTTTATCTCTTTTTCACATGCACATTTCTTCAATTAAAATTTCTTCTATTATACAACATAATTTAGAAAAAAAAAAAGTTGAGCAAAGTTTAAAGTATAGAAATTTTCAAATAGAAATTACTTTAATTCAAAGTTATTTTTGAAATTGTGTTTTAATCAATGTTGAAATTTAATTCAATCCAAATGTAATTTTTTTTTTTAGCGACAAATGGAATATTTTATCGGAAATTTTGCTGAATTATTCAATAAATGAAGAGAGAAATTCGTGCTGGAAAAAGCTTAGATTCCCTAATAGCCGATAATCAATTTTAAGCTCACCGCTACACTAAACTTTCATCGTTTAAAATTAGTAATGCGATGATTTTAAAATCGAAAATTTTAATTTAGCTTGTCAAGAATATTATTGCGAATTTTGAAAAATTTTCTAACATCGCATCACAAAATTGATTTTAAGCAATAAACGATAATGGCGATGATATGATATTATTAAATCGGTGATAAAAAGTTTATTGTCTTAAAAATTCATAAAACATTTACTATTAACTAGTAAATGCTTCATTAATTTTCGTTAATTTATACAAATATTTTGTATAAATAAAAAGAAATATTTATAAAAATATTTTGTTTTTTCATTAAAATATTTTGATAGAAAAATGTAGATGAAAATTTTTTTTTTGCAGCAATATTAATTGCTTATTAATTAATACAACTATTAATATTACTATCACTATTATTATTATTATCACTATTATTATTATCATTATTATCATTATTATTCGAGTATTTTGCAAGAAGATAAATATACCATTATATTGTGAAAAACCATAAAATATCGTTTTAGTTGAATTTGAAATTTGTATCTAAAAATTAATGATTAAAAAAAAAATTATTGATATTTTAATTATTTAATAATAATGAAAAGAAATGAAAAATTGTATAAAGAAAAATTTAAAAATAAAAATTTATTAGAAAATTAATTAAATAAATAAACCATACTAATTGGTTAAATTATAAAATTTAAAAATATAAAATTATGAAAAAAAAAATGAAATTTTTTGACAAATCCGATTATCTTTTTTTTGAATGAAGAAAATTTATGCCTAAATTAAATTTACTATTTTTAGCTATAAATCCTAAAAAATCGAAAAATTATTGAATTTTATAAAAAAAGCAAAAAAATTTTACCAAATTTAGAAGAAAAAGAAAAGTGAAAACCGAGTTGACCAGTAGGCGCATTTTTAGAAAATAAAGGAGGAACGTTGCGTTAGTAGTAGGGTGTGGTCATAAAAATGACAATTAGTTGAAGGAGTGACCACTGATGACCGCAATACTCATTAGCTTCCTCTATTTGATCTGTGTAAATAACGCCTCAAGAGATTATGATTTTTGCTTTCCTTTTTATTTATTTCTTTTAATATTTTAGATTTTCATCCTTTTCTATACGCTTTTTTCGACATTAATAAATAATTTAAATAAATAGATGAATAAACGAGTGAAATGAAAATGTTATAAAATGATATAATGAAATGAAAAGTAAACGGTAGGTGAACTTAGCTCAGTGGATTGTTGGTCTTATTTCGGTGAGCAATTGCTAAAGTTCAACTCCCTTCTGAAGCAGAGCATTGTTTTTTTCCAAAATTCAAGTCATGCCGGTGATTTATTTCTATTGCTAAATGATTTCATGGCAAAAATAAGCCTTATTCAACATCCCGGAAATGATAAAGATCTTTAAAAAAATATCATAATGTAAAAATATTACAATAGCTATAAATCCTATAATATTTATTAATATATTAATGTTTATTGTTAATTTTAATATTTTTTAAATAAAATGGTAGATTTAAAACTTATAATTTAAAAAAAAAAATAAAATAAAAATATGGAACATCAATGAACATTTTTAAAAATATCCATAAAATATCTATGAGCAATCAACATTTTCATGTGATTAAGAAGCATTCTTCATCCATCGCTCACAATTTTTTATTATTATATTCGTAATTTGCTATATTTTTAGAAATCAATAAAGCCATTCATGCTTATTTTGAAAAACTTTATTGCTAATTAAATTCTATTTTTCCCTTATAATTTGTATTATTATGAAATATTATGAAGTTCTATTATGAAATATTCAGAAAAATAATAGAATCAATAAATGATTTACTTTAAAAAAATTGTCACTATTATCACTGTTATCAAATTAGATATAATTAAAATATATTTGTATTTTTCTTTATAATTTATAGTTCTATTAAAATATTTCTTATTTTATATATATAATAATAATAATTTTAATTGAATTTTGAAACGTTAACTCAAATTTCATATTGGTTTTCGAATTTTGTATAACCCAATTTTCAAAATTAATCTTTTTATTATTTAAGAGGTGTTTTATAGAGAAATTTCAACGAAAATGAACCAAATAAATCGCCGAATAATTGAATTAAATATACTTGAATATGAAAATAAAAATGGGAAACGGTCAATTTTTGTATGCAGATGCTATTCACTGTGTATTATAGAAAAGTACCACCTGTCTTACAATCACACTGGTTCAACTGTATTTATATTTATAAAAGGCATTAGATAATTATATTGTAAATCATCGAGAAAATGATCACTGAAGTAGTTTTCCTAACATGATTGATGAATTTTCGAAAAATTTTCTAGAAAACTTCAACTTGTCAGAATAATTATTGACCAATTAATGTATAATAAAACTGTCGAACTGAGATTTCGAAATTTTGTACATCTGCTAAAAAAACTTAAAATTTCTATAGAACAATTCAAATTCAACTTTAAAAATTTACAACAAAATAAATAATGATAGGAAATTTTATCGAAAAATTTAGTCGCGAACGATAAGATTTCTATGATGATGGATATTTGATATTTTCGGATAACGTTGAATCCTTTTCGTTTGTAGTAGATTCATTGGTTTTATCAGTAGAATCACTTTTAGAAAGCAACTCATTAAATTTGCTTTTTGATTGATGCGGTGCTATTTTAGCCCATGGCAAAATTTCACCTTCAACAAGGATGACAAAAATAAGTGTACCCAATAAGAGGACACCAGCTGTTACCCAAAAGACAGTTTGCCATTCCTTTTGAGAACCCTATAAAAAAAAAGGCTCAAAATTTATTAGCAAATAATGATTGATGATTTTAGAAAAATCATTGCTTAACTTCCTTTTAGCATTTTGATTTATTTATAGTTTTGTTTTTGACCAAAAAATTAATTATTTTTTCTATTCTAATCCGCCATAAAAAAAGAATTTTTTTATTAAAATTTTAATGCTTTTTTAATATGAAAATGAAAAATATAATAAAAAGAAAAATTGATAAAATTAATTTTATATTCAATTTTCACTTTTTAAATTTTTAAATTTTCCAAGTTGTTTTCTCGAACAATGAAAAAAAAAACCGCTAAAAAAAATTTTCAAGATAGATTTTAACGATTTTGTTCACCAGATGTTGGATATTATTTGCCACTTACAAAAAATATTAGAGAATAGAATGTTAATAATATTCGAGAATGCTTACCGATGGTGTTAACCATCCAGCGACTAATGGGCAAAGTATGCCCGCAAGGCAAGATAATGTATTACCAACTGCAATAATTTCACCCGCATATAATGGTGCAATATCCAAGTAATTGACAAGGAAGCCTGAATATGATACACCGGAGATGCCAATACCTATTGTCAGAAATATTATAACAAGTACTTGTTGACCACATTTACAATAGCCACTCGCGACAAGAAAGATTGCTTGAGAACCCAAAGCTGAAGATTTTTATTTGTATGTATATGTATAATCGTTCTTGATTCACTGAAACTCTTCATATTATTTATTTATTTACTTGTTATGTAGGTTATTTTTCTTTGAATCAGATTTAAATGAGGTTTAAATTGCTTGGGGGCATAAAAGTTTCAATTGAATTTCAACTGAATTTTTTAATGCAATTTATAGAGAAATTGCATTTAATTATCTAGCCGCTCAATCAGATTTAGCCTTAGGAATTTTCTATTTTTAAACTTATATACACCATTCTTCTTTTTCCAATGTACTTTAATAATCTGGCTGACTATTTAAGTCAGATGGATGGGCAGCATTCATTTAGCTTTTAATAATAATAGGTTCACCCCGTAATATGCTCACCACTGTTTGGTTAAACTGCTTGCCAATAATAGAAGCAACGCGTTCAATTTAACAACCATACTGTATTATGTGCTAAAATCTTAAATAAATCTATGGTACCTTTGAAAAATGAATTATTATAATGAAGTTCCATTCAACGGGAAAAAGAAACCGCTAAATTAGAATTTTAAATTTCAAATGAAATATTCTAATTGATTTAAAATTTTAATAAAAACTCTAAAAGCTTTTTTTCATTTCATTATTCGCTTTAAGGAGAAAATATTAGTCTAAACGGTTGTAAATTAATTCTTGACGCTCATTATTTCTATATGTAGGCTCGATACGAAGATTTGTCGCATCGGGCAAATTTTGTCTGCTAGAATTTTTGAAAGACAAGTATACTCTATTTGGATGTCGAACCCATTGACGCTATAGAAGAGCAGCCGACAGATATCTTATATTCATTATTCCACAATTAAAAAGAAAACAAACCGATGATCATCGCTAAACGTCGAGTAGCAACTGTTGATAAAATTGAACGATTTCGAAGATTATCAGCAATTATTCCAGCAATATTTATGCAAAAGAAATAAGCGATATATGGTAAAGCTACTATGAATCCTGTCTTAAAGCAGAGAACAATTAAATGGAAATGAAAATGGAAATTATTAAAAGATATGAGATGAATATTATGTTGTTAAGAAAAAAGAAAAACCGCAGTGATGTCGAATCCAAGAACATCATCCATAAATAATGGAAGACTTGTCATCATCATATATGCGCCCCAATCGGCGGAAAAATGTCCACACCATACACCCCATACTGCTTTTGATCTTATAATCGTCAGCCATGGTACTGGAGGTTTCTTCAATGCGAAAAATAGAGAAGATGAAGAAGGAAAATTTATACATTTAATTTATATATTTAAAAAATTTTGTCTTGAAATCCTAACCTTGAGATTTCTAATTTATAAGTACCACAAACCACACTTTATCTTCTCTTACTAGCAGTCATCTGCTAGTAGTGGTTAGGGCATGTTCACCGTCGTCCACCACAGGAGTTGACGCATATTTCGTTATTTGCTAAACTGTGTGATGGATGGCGTCAAAAGCGAGATGGGCCAATCAATACTTGGACTGATACGGTCAGAAAAGATTTTGAACGTATAGGTGGTCCAGCAATATATGGGCTTAGACGATGGAAAAAGGAATGGTTTCTATTGCTGTCGACGATGGCAACAGACCGCGCCGCTTGGAAGCGTCTTATCCTTGTAGCCGTTGGAGCCAGTAATGTTAGAGGTGTTAGAAGAAGAAGAAAAAGACTAGCAGCCACCATTGCTTTTTTGGCTAACCGCTTTGGCTATATCTTATACGTTAAGTGATGCTAGAGAGTTAAGGATATGATAAGATGCAAATAAATCACTGGCATCATCCGAAATCCATCTTTAATGGAATTTAATTTGTAATGGCTTGGAATAAGTTATCTTAATCGATGATTTTTTCACCCTGGTGAAAAAAAAAATTAGTTTCTTAGGCTTATTTAATAAGAGACGAAAAAAATAAACTGGTTTCTGATTTTTACTGGTTTTTAAAAACTTAATAGAAGTTCTCTTGTTAATTAATTCATTACTTTTTCCTCATTGGAACTGATAATAGCTTGAAGTGATTCGTTAATATATGACCGCTCAACTTTACTTATTCTTTTGTGTGTTGATGGAGTATCTGATGCATAATAGAGCCAAATTAAAAGCCACAAAAGCGCCACGCAACCTTAAGATACGAATTCGAGATTTTAGTATACTTGTAAAGATTTGTAAAAGCCGAAAATTATCCAGATTATTTGTTGAACCAGTAGCAAATTCACACTCTTCCTCATTCCCTTCCACTATCTCTATCTTTACTCCTTTTCCTCTCCTCTATAGTCGAGTCTATCGTTTTCTTCAGTGGTATTTAAATTCTTTTGGTTCCATTTGACTCCATTTGTACTAAAATTTCAGCGTTCCTATGTCTAGGTTTTCTCCTCATCAATGAGCACAGATATAGCTGGTTTATTCTGGTTTATTTTAAGCATTTCTTACAGTTTAAACTTTTTATTCACCTAAGATATAATAAATAGATGGCCATCCTCCAGCGAAGCCATATTTGCACAGCAATCCGGATATTGGCATAACTACTACGTTTCCGATTTGTGCACCTAGAATATTCTCTTAAAAGCTAGATAATTGGAAATCAGAAACAAGAATTTATGGTTTTAGATTTTCAAATTAATTGGCGTAATTTATCCAAAAATATATTATCCTTTTTAGCGCTGTGAATTAAAGTTGGATTCCTTTACTCTATAATTTATTTCATGCTAAACATGTTGTAATAAATTGAATTAATCGTACCGGCATAATTAATTCCGGTTAGAAGACTTGTCTCTAGTGGTGGTGACCATCTTGACCAAATTGTGTGGAATGATGGCAATAATCCTCCCTTAAAAAAAAGTGTTGCTTAGAAAGAATTAAGGAATTACAATAAAAAACTAAATCAATATGAATATCTTTTGGGAATTTGGAATTTTTTCCAATCGAGAACGAATGAATTTATAAAAATACCTCAAAAAAATTCTTCATAATCCAATCATCTCTTAATAATTTCTTATATCATATTTATATTATTCGAAAACAGTCTTAGAAATAATAAAATAATAATATTTTATTAATTATAATATTTTATTAAGTATAGAAAAAAAATTTACAAAAAAAATAATATTTTATTAAGCATAGAGAAAAATTTACGAATGAGTTTTTCATGTATTTGTTCTAGCACTGAAGTTCCTCTTGGCAGCATAAGAGGAGGCAAATTTTGCTAAGGAGTCATTTGGCGATAGAAGCACAAATAAATAGCTGTCATCACAGATTTTCTCCTATCGGAAATCGAACCCCAGCATAACACGTCCCCTCACCTCCCCTTTCCCCCCCCCCTTCTCCCCCCCCCCCCCTTCCCGTAATGGCAGCAATAACCCAATGAGCAAGTGCTATATGAAAAGCAATCTTTTTTTTTTGTAATTATAATAATAATTTATAAATAAAATGTAAATAAACATTTATTAAATAACTATGGTATTTTCATTAAATATATTTCACACGATCGATTTATAAATAATAAATAAAATATTCTACGATATGTGAAAATATCGAAATCTGAGCGTATAAATAAAATTACTTGACGAAGCCAATTAAATAATTCATCGATTGTATGAGTGTAAACGATTTTCTCATCAGCTAATTTAATTTTATATGTATAATTAAAGAATAATACTTGAGTGATGCCAATTAAAATTCGGACAGCAATGAAGAGAGATGCGTTTATGTTGGCTGCACTTGGGGATAATAATGTTAGAATAGCGCCTATCAATGCGCCTGAAGCGATAACGATTTTGCCTCCGAATCGACCAGCTAAATATCCACTTGGAATCTGACTCCCGATATATCCCAAATAAAACGAACTTAATATAGAACCTTGAACTCTTTTTGACCATTGTAAATGACCATTTATCTAAAATTTACGTGAAATAATAGAACTACAAATATTGAAAATGTTTTATGCTTTTCTTGAACCGCACAACATTTCTGGTTTGGCTCATTATAATGGATCAGGAGGTAAATGCGTATGCAACAGATGAGTAGTTAGCAACAGCACTAGGGTTTTCCGGTTGGACTTCGAGCATTAGCTAGACTGACTAATTTGTTATTTATACAAATTTCTCATTGTACAACTGTAATTTACTAACGGTATTGGTTGTATCAGTCTCTGTAGTTTTATTTTCACCAGGGCACATTGCACTTTTTGAAACTTTTTCTGTTGAAGTCGTATTTACCATGCAAACAATCGAGACGCTCAAATCGTTTCTTAAGGTATAAAAGATCGCAGTTCCTAAGAAACCGATAATAGCCATGTTGAATCTTGTTGATCCAAGCAAAGCTGAAAATGAAGGGAGAATTTTTTTTTCGCTAAAGAAAATTCCTATATAAAATTTTTCAAATAATCAAATAATCAAATAGCTTGAAGTCTTAAATGAAAGATTACAGGCATGCTTAGAAGCGTTCACTTGTAGAAATTTGTAGAAATTTGATATATATGTATATATTTTCCTCATAGGATTTAGATACTACTATTTTAAAAGCAGTCTTGCAAAAATAAAAAAATTAAAAAACCAAATAAAATAAAATTCTTATATTGATTGAATAAATCTAATTGGGAGGATGATGGTTGGTTACCTTCTAAATCCCATTGTGATCCTAGGCCACTTCCTCTAATTGCTTAGTTTTTCTTAATTATCTATGATGCAATTTAATTTGGTAGATTTTCTTTCATGTGATTCTCCTAAATTTGCATTGAATTTTGTAATTTATTCCTATCTTTTTTTTTAGTTTATTTGTAATTTATTTATTTAGTTTATTTGATTATTAAACCATAAAAAATAAATATTAGTGTTATACCCAAGATGCCTTTTATTATTTGTGCAAATACAGTAATTTCGAAATATGAGAAATAAATATTAATTTTTTTTTGAATTATTAATTATCAATGTCATTGTCTCATCCTCTCATATTTTTAGCTGATAATTTTTAAGAGAGAAATATTGCAAAAAAATAGCGAGAATGGTAAATGATTTGTGATATTTTTGAATCATCTTAAACTTCTCTAGTGTTTTTTTTAAATTTTTAGTTGAACCAACTGGAAACGAATCTTAATGGGAATAAGAAAAAATCATGGCCAAGGATTTAACATAATTATAACATAAACTCTCAAACAATTTGTTGACTTATTCCGAAACAATTCGTTTTCCTTGGAAACTTTCTCGAACAATATTTTTTATTATACTAGAGTTCTTCTATGATTTATGATTTTCATTGATTGTTTTATTTAGAAAATAAAATGCTCAATTTTTAATAGAACTTTTAATTTAGGCATTGAACTTCATAGACAATTATTTTTAGTTGGTAAGATTTTTTTTTGATGAGCGCTCACCATTTCTGGCTACATTTCTGGCTCTGTTGGCTCTTAGAAACAAATAAATTTTGCAACAAGTCACTTGGCTATGGATGTTCATATATGATTCGCCAGTATGAATTTTTTGAATTCGTCAAATATATAAATAAATATATATAAACTTAAAAAATTTTAGCATCCTAAAATTGATGCACTATTTAGAAATAAATCGAAACCAAGGGATTTTTCTTAAAATTGTACCAAAGAAATTGGAATATCAAACTTTTATTAGTACCAAATTTAAGGACCACATCAAAACCAGTCAAAATTATTTGAACTAATCTGCAATTTGATGTTTAGAATTTATTTCGAATATTTCACTATAACTAAAAGAGTTGAATTAAAGCTGGCCAATATAGTAAGCGGTTTGTACCATCTCAGACGAATGCATACTTCATTTGCTATAAGGATGAGGCAGCCTTACCGGAGAGTCGACGAATCAATCACCAGCATCTTCCAGCTTTCTTAATAATAAATTCCTTCCGTATGGGATACAAACCAAGAGTTTAAATGATAACCTAAGCAATATGGTGAAATCGAATATTTTCATCGAAACTAAACAATATTTTAATAAATTCAGTTGAATTTTTTTACGTTTTTGAAAATAATGAAATTAAGAAGACCAATTTGAAATTATTTTTGTTGTTTGACTGATAACTATGAATGAAAATAAATGATGGAACGATGTGATTCAATGTCAATATAGAAGAAATTTTTAAAAAAATTCTTCTCTGAAATTTCTGTTATCGTTTTGTAATAATTCACTAAGTACACTAAGTACACATGCAGTGAAAAATAATAAAATCATATTTGTTATATACCAATAAAAACGAAACTAAACCAGTTACCTCAGGCAAAATCTTAAATTGTCCATAATGCTTATCATTTTACTGAAATTATCATTTTCTCGATTCCAGTATTATTTCATGCATAAGTTTAATTGGCACTGATGCATGCACTTTTCGCCATTCTTAAGAATATTCCATGTCATCCCAATCATTAACGCTACGAGTTAACTTTAGAAGAAAAAAGGTGGACTTATTTTTTAGATTCTATCAGTTCGACAGGAATGCCGAAAGATAGAAGAATTAGGCAACTTTTGCGTTTTTTCAACTCACATTGGTCAGCAATACAATAGAATTTTTTATGCTGCAGCCAGCTAAATGCGAACTTTTGATTTGATACTGTTTTTAAGTGGATTTCAAAAAGCCATTAGTGAAAGGAAATTTGTTGCTGCAGCTAACTAAGCTATATCCTTCACTTATGAATATATTTAAGCGCTTATAAAGAAAGCTAATTTTATTTTGTTTTATTTGGAGCCCGATTTTCATTCCGTTCATCCTACATGCTCCGACATCTGCTATATAACTCTTCATAATTCCATGCTAAACATAAATATAAATAATTAGACAGCCCATGGGCTTCGAACTGATACGTCCTTCAAGTACCAGCAACCAATTTTCCCGTCTATCGTATTTTTTATGCTGTGAAAAGAAAGCAATCCTGATATACGCCAATTTTTGTTTCGAAAGAATCACATCAAAGCATCTCCGCAAAGCGTAGATTTTAATTAATATAGATTTTTTTAAAGCATTAAAAAATTACAAATTTATATTTTTTTCAATGAAAAAAAACAGGAATTGAACTAAAATCGAAATGTTGAACAATCATATCAGCACTATTCTTATAAACGATTATGTAACTTTAACTTTTAAACTAAGATAATCATTTCAAAAAAAATTGATGATTCCTATTTTCCATCATATCATTGGCCTTAGAATTTTTTTGAATATTTCTACATTTTATTTTTTATAAGCGATTCGTTCCGAATTTTGCGATGGAAAATACAATTATAACTAAAAAAAAAATAACCTCAGGCAATATTTATTTATTTAAAAATAACTAAGCAGAGCAACCAGTGCCATATTCTTACATCAATAGCACTGTGCGAAGTGCAAGTTCAAAAGATATTAGTAACATGGGTATATATAATAATAATAACAATAATAATAATAAAGTAATAATATATATATATATTGAAAATAAATTTGTCCAGTAGCTAATAATGCAAAATGATACAAATATTATGCAATTATTATTTGCATACAAAATCGCTTTGTTAAAAAAAACCATGGTTTGGAACCTACTGCATAAACATTTAAATTGTATCATAGATATTTAATAAAACTATATTATAATAATTTTCGTTAAAGATGGTGCGTCGCACATTATCCTGTTTATTGCGGTAATTAATGGTACTAATATAGTTTCGCAAATAGATTTCAAGAAGTTTAACTGAGAATTATAATGAGCAGTCCTTATCCTCTTTCTTTGATATTGGATAACAAAAAAAAGCATAAATTATATAAAAAAAACCTGGCTTTACTGACGAAGCCATTTGAGAGGTTAATTTTTCACCAATTTCTCTCCAATTTTAAAAAATTCTCCTGAACGTTAAATCTTTAATTTCTTCAAAAATATACAAAATAAAGAGCAATCGCATTAGAATGTATTTCGTTCACAATTCGTAATATTTCATGGCAAACCGCTATGAAACGATTTCAGCAAAATAAATGAATTTAAAGAGCAGTAATTTAGGAAAATTTTATAAAAACGATTGGATTGATGGTATATTTTCAACAAAATAAAAAAGGGTTATACAGTTGAGAAAAGCAAAAAAATGAATTCTTACGACCTGAAATTAAAAGTGAAATTAAATGAAAATTTGTTGATTTACCTGTTGGTATGGAAAAAAATTTTTTCATATACAAATTAATAGCGGAAAAATTTGCCGAAAACTTTTTTTTTTGAAAAAATTATAAAAACTTTCATATTCATGAAATCTAAAGAATAATTTCAAAATATTGGTAAAATAAGCAATAATGAAATGGTGAAATATTGGTAAGAAAAAAAGCAAAATTGATTAGTGTTTGAAAAGAATGGTGAGAATGGTGACAATTCTTTCTTCTACATTTTTCTTATTTGGCTACTTGCATTGCCGGCTTCGACTGTGATCTTTTCCAAAGCCAAATAAATTGGGGACACTGGTACGCTTTTAGTACCATTCGGATTTCTTGACCCTGGAACGATAGGAATAATGATTAGTTCTATGCTTTAAGAGAAATAAAAGTTATTTTACATAATAAATAAATTTGGCCAAGATCAGAAATTTCTTGAAAATAACTGAAAATAAATTTACTTATGTAAAATGAAAAGAAGTTTTAAAAGAACCAACAATTCCTTATGTTATGCAGTAATAACAAAGAAATTCAACTGGTAAATATTGCACAATAATAGAAATTGCAATGAAATTTTTTAAAAGCCAAAGTTTACCAAACTAAAAATGAAAAAGACGAATAGTTGGAGATTTTATAGTTATAGTGAGACCAAACAAAAGTTTATATTTACAATTTGCAAGTTTTTAACAATGAAAAATTCAAAAGTAAATCCAGTTTTTCATATCGCTTGTCATTTCCTATGGGGAATAACTTTTAACTTTATCTAACTTAGAAATATTACACAAAAATGATAATTCAGGAAACAATACTTTGATTTTTTTCTAAAATTTAGAGAAATAAGTTTAATGGAATCAAATATCTTATGGATTTTGGATTTTTGAAGCAATTTGTTCATAAATTCAGAGATCGTGGATATGATATGATAACTGATTCATTACGCAACCACTTTATCCCATCCTTATCACTTTAGCAGTATTTTCACTATGTTTTTTGTAAAATATATCACAATACAGAAATTTGTTAACTAATATATACTTTTTAACCTTTAATAAACGATAAATGACGATCGCAAACGATTTATTTTGTTTTATTTTAGTGAAGAAGCAATTCGTTGAATTTTATTTAAACAATATCTTTTCGTTAACTTTAATTTATTAGATAAAATTTATTATTTATTAAAGTAATTTTTATAGAGGACATTTTTTAATTATTTCAAAATTTTCAATTTTTCTATTTTTTTTATAGTTGTTTTTTTATAATTTATTTATTTATTTATTTTTAATTATTTTCCTATAAGCGTGGAAAAAATTTTTCGTTGTAATGATGATGAACGTTCAAAAGGAATATTTACAGAATCTTATCAGTTCCATATTTGTAATGATTTTTTTTCAAACTCAACAAAGAATTCCTTTTATGGTCATAAAGATCGTTTTTGTATTGAAAATCTGATTCCGTGGCAGAGCACCTGAATTCTAAAAATCTTAATGTAAAACCTAACGATCATCACTTATTGATAGATAATTATCTCGAATAACAGAAAAAAAAAGAGAAATAACGGAATACAAGGTTAGGCGTCAGATAATGATGATAAATCGTTAAAAGACACTTCTTCCTCCTTATGTCTATATTTGATAATTGATTTACTCAAGTTTTATAGGTTCCAAAACATTTTCATAGAGATCATTTTCATGATGAATGCTATACATCTCCTAAAAATACTTACATAATTCAGCAATTATTACATAAAAATTCTTAATTTAATTTTTTTATCAACTGTTATCAATACTTACAATTTAACAGTTTTACAATATCTTTTAATCACTTTTTTTATAGAATCGAATACTTTAATTGCTAAAAAAAAGCCACATTGTTTGTGGCTAAATTGAAATTAATCAAAAATTAAATCAGTGATAATAAACGAAAGAGAATTATGTTCAATCTAATTTGAAAGATATTCCAAATTATAAAAACAGTAATAATATTGTGTATGGGTCTAATTTCGAAGCGTCGATAGTAGAGTTCCACACTCCGCGGAAATAAACCTGTCTTTCGAAAATCCGAATTGTGCCGGCGACCTAATTATTTTTTTAAAACGCTAAATGACTTCGGACTAAATTTATCTGGTCCAACAAGCCAGTATAGCAAATCTAGTAAACAAAAATAATAAGCGTTTAGAAAGAGCTTTTCAATGGTTTATAATTTCCAGCAAAATAATTTATAGTTTAAAATTTCTTAGAATAGAATGAAAATTTTTCTTATTTTATATTATCAGTAGATTTGTCACTGTGATAAATAATAATAATTACGTGATATCATTTCATAAACCATTTTTTATATAAAATTATTCATCAATTAACCTTGTTATATTTAATATGATCCACCCATACCTTCTTTGCCTGTTTTAATTTCATTTCTTATTCGATTTGATCGACTGGCAATTAGGATGTCTGGCTGGATTAGATTGGCAATTTCCAATCCTTCTGATCCGATCAATGATTGATATGCACTAAAATAATGAAAATTCATTCATATTAGCAAATATTCAAAATTTTATGTGATTCATTGAACAGAAAAAAAGATCCATATTTCAATGTTTTAGATGATAAACTTATCAGTTATTAGTATTTCATTCATTATTATTAGTTATCATTATTTCATTATTATGCGTATATTTTCTAAAATATGATTCAGCCTTGTGGCTGTATTCTAAATTTTTATCATTTTATTTCATTTATCATTTGGGTGATGAAAATACAGATAGACTGTTAACAATAACCACAAAATCACTACAGGAGCTTTTAATGTTTATTTCCTATAATAATTCGATGCGAAAAGACTATAAAATTTTTTGCACCGTTTACGAGGGCAAAAAAAATGCTATTTTACGTAGTTCGAACAAGTCTGACTTTTGAGGTTTGAAATCACAAAGATTATTTTCCATTATTTCTCTTATTTTTGGTACACTAATAATTCCAGGTTTCACTTCCAATAAAAGTAAACCTGCTTTTTAGAAATCCATGTCATACTGGCGTACTTTTATCATTAAGTGATTTGTGCGATCCAATAAGCCAGCAGAATGGATTGAATCAAAAGTGATAAACGCAAGAAAAAAATTGATAATTATTAATACTGATAAAGAATTGTCGTTGTGTTTATGCTAAACACTATCGGAAGATGGTTATGGCGCTGGTAATTTATTCCAATAATTAATGCTACGAATGTTATTTAAAATTAAAATTAGTTCATCTTTTTATTGTTATTCCTTTAAAAAGAACCTTTGTGATTTTAACTTTATTTTTCGATGATTTCGATAAGCGAAAAATTCGAATGCATCGATGAACGACTAATCGTTACGTTTCTGCCCAATTTTCTTTCCAACCAACCAACTATTTGCTCACTTTTCCGTATAATTCGTTGTTTATTCTATCGATACGCTTCATTCCTCTATTGATTTTTAAAATATTCTATAATAAAAAAATTTTTTTATTAAAATTTTATTTGCAATAATCTAATAATTCTTTTAGAAAGAGATTTAACACATTTTTTTTTTAAATATAAAAAAAAGTCGATCAAAATCAAGCATTTCAGACTTTTTAAGTTACGAATAGAAATCAAATCCCTAACCTATGGTACTAACTGTGGTATAATTTATGCATACTACTATTATTATACTACTATTTACAACTGTTTAACTCATTGATTAAAAAGGTCAATGAAGTCAAACTGAAAATGATGTTATCTTTAGAAAAATATGAAAAGAATTTAATTTTTGTTTTTAAAAAATTTTATCAATTTTAATTTTAGAATAAATATCTAATATATTTTTTTGATAATTGATAGTTTATACATTCCCTTATTAATTGTAAATTTGATTTTTAAAAAATAATAGATGATGAAGGCTGATGAGTCAGTTATTGTAATAAAACCAGTTATTGCATAATATAGTTACAATAATATTTTTATTGAATTTCATTAAAAATTTATTTCCACCTTTCCTCATCAATACTATTGTAGCAATAAATTTCGTATGAATTTGCGTTCTTTTTTTTTCCATTTCCATTTTTTGACTGATAAAAGTTTTTTTGCGATTATTTATCACCAATACATCAACATTTTATTTTTTATTTTATGTAGTAAATTTTTCGATTCCTCGTTCACTCAATTTTCTATTTTCATTTTTTCCATTTTCATTTTTTTTATTTTCATTTTTTTTCATTTTTTCATTTTTTCATTTTTCACTTTTTTTCGTACAATTAGCGTTTCAACGAATTTCACAGTATTTGATAAAATTATAGGTATTAAATTGTTAAATTGTTAAATTTGTTAAATTTATTGTTAAATTTGTAAAATTATTAAATTTACATATAAATTTTTCTATTTCAGCAACGAAAATGTCGCTATATTTTCATGGAACTATAAAGAGTCAGCAAGAGTTTAATGCGGAAATTGCAGCCGATTCGTTGGAAAAAGCTATGAAAGGAATCGGTTGTGATAAAAATAGGATTGTTCAAATACTAACACATTGCAATAATGCACAAAGACAAATGGTTTGAATTTTTATTCGTTCATTATAATATTAGAGAAAAATTTTCAAAAAAAATCTATGTAAAATGTTGATTTTTTTCTTGTTTCTTAATAATGGATGAGCTGCAAATAAGAAATCCCTCGCTATACTATGGGTATTTCTGTATATATTTATTCTTTATATTTACATTTTGACTCTTTTCGACCCTATTTGACTTAATGGGTCAATAAAGCCAAACTGAAAATGGTGTATGCTAAATATTTGATATTTTAAGATTAGAACTCCATATAAAACAAAATATGGAAAGGATTTAATGCATGAATTAAAAAAGGAGCTTCATGGTGATCTGGAAGATGTTATACTCGGTATTATGGAAACACCTACCAAATACGATGTTTTACAACTGCATAAAGCAGTGAAGGTTAGATTCAATCCATTATCCGATCTGGTATTCCTTTAAAATTTTAAAATTTAAATTTCAGTTTATTACTTTTTTTTAAATTTAAAGACCATAGAAATACAATCTATATTTTGGAATTAACAAATGAACGAAACCAATTTTTTTAACATATATTTTTTTAGAAGAAAATTTTTAGGGAATTGGAACGAAAGAGATTATTCTAATAGAAATTTTGAGTTCACGTACAAATGAAGAGATAGCGGCGATCCGGAATCAATATCAAATTGATTATGGAAAATCCCTTGAAGACGATGTGATCGGTGATACAAGTGGTGCTCTAAAATGTCTACTTGTATCATTAATTCAAGGAAACCGCGATCAGAGTCATTATGTGGATAATCTCAAAGCCAATCAGGTAAATCTGAAATTTTTTTTTTTCAAATTATCGAAAATAATTATTAATTCGGTTTGCGTATATATTATAACTATTAATACATAATAATTATCTCTGATGGAACATTTGTGTTGTGCCGTAAATACGGTACCTAAGCATGAGAAATTAGCATGATTGACGTTAGATGAAAATTCAGATATCGTCATAGAAATCTGCAATCTGATGAATTTAGCAGTCAAAACAGTTTTTTTCAAAAATTATAATCTCTATAATATAATTTTTTTTCATCGGATAGTTTTTTTTTGGTTTTTCTTAAATCTATGATAACGATAATGATAATAATTATCAGTTAAAATTTGCATATTTGATTTCAGCATTTAGCAAATAATATATATTCATTCCTAGCAAATCCCTAAAAAAAATTTGAAAAAAGCCTTTCAATAATTAAATATTATAATAAATAATTTAGTACTATTTATTATTAAATAAACAAATATTTTTTCGAATAGATTGGTATAAACATTGTTTATTATTTCATAGAAAATTGATTAGCTATAAATTTCTAAATAGAGGTGGAATAGCTCAGTGGGTTCTACACCCGATTGGCGATAGTAATGGGTCTTCTTTCCGAAAATCCAGGTGATATTATTTGTCCAGTTTTGCTTCTTTCGCCAAATCTCTGGTGATAATTGTATTATCCGATAAGACAATTGAGCGAGTCTAACCAATATTAATTCGTTTCGTAATAACATTAATGACATTGAACGTTCATTAAAAATAGTAATAAATATTATTAATGAAAATAATCGAAAAAATATTCAATTAAATAATTTTTTTGATTTTCCGACAAAATATTCGTAAACTTTTATTTTTATTTGTATTTATTTATTTATTTATTTTTATTTATTTTTATTTTAAATTTTTATTATTTATTTTTTTATACAACATTAGTGATGGTGTATTAATTTTTCTTTTTATTGCTCAAATGGAAAAAAATTTTGGAATATTTATTTCCTTATAATTTTGTGATTCGTTGAATTTATTAAGTCACTTGAAGGTGAGAAATTTTATTTCTTTTCTTTTCAAAATTTCTACTCAGCCACGGTTACCCAAGGTGAAATAAATTCTTTTTTTCATTTTTACCTCAAATGGTTGAAATGTTGTAACAATTTTTAAAACTGTAAGAACTGTAAAATATAAAATTTTGTATTGGCCTCATTTCGGAGCCAGTGGTAGAGTTTTCCGCACTCGGCAGAAATAAACCTGTCTTCCAAAATTCGAATTGTGCTAGTGATCTAATTATTCTTTTAAAGAGTCAATTGATAAAATTTTTCTGCTGCGACAGGCCAGTGAAAGAAATTTGGCCCTAAAAATTATGAGAGTTATCAGAGAAATTTTCTATAAATGATTTATAATTTCTAATTTGATCTAATATTTTTTTAAAATAAACAAATTTTCTTGTGTGGCATTATCAATTAATTTATCAGTACATTTCATTGTGATAAATAATAATTATTATGTGATATCATTTTCATAAATTTTTGTTCATATAATAAATTTCTGTATAGAAAATATATAGAAAATTTATTAAAATAGGATGCAAAAAGACTTTACAATGATGGTGAGAAAAAATTTGGCACAACTGAATCCACTTTCAATTCTATTCTTGTTTCACAGAATTTACGACAGCTTGATAAAGTTTTCGAAGAATATGAAAAAATTGCTGGTCATAGTATTGAAAAAGCAATCGAAGTAAGATTTTCAAGCGACATTTCTCCTCAATTATTCCAAAATGTTATGAATCGTTAAAAATCTATAAAATATGGCCACATCTACGGCTTGTCGCAATTTAGTGAATTCTCTTAAATTTTTCTAGATTTGCCTCAACTGGTTTGGTTAATTATTGAGATAAAAGTCCAAGAGTTTTCGGATCCGATTACATCGTTTGGCATTATTAATATATAATAATAATTTTTCTGATAATTGATAAAATCTTTCATATTAAGTCTAAAATTTCAATGTCTAGTAAATTGTAAATTTTAGAAAGAATTTAGTGGAAATACGAAAAATGCCTTTCTTGCGGTCGTTCAATGTATCCAAAGTAAGCCAAAATATTTTGCTATTCAACTACACAATGCGATGAAGGTAAATTATTAGTTGAAATAAGTATATTAAGCTAAAATTCATTATGGAACTATAAAAGACCTTAATTTTATGTATATCAACCTATTTTATAATTATATTCCTGGCCTTAGCATGAGTATAAAATATTCCATCTTTAAAAAGTGCGGCTAGTGCTGTCAATTTACTTATGCGTTTGGCCGAGTAACTCTCTCGTAAAAATCCCTGAAAAATCTCTAATCATACGAATGGCTTGCCTAAACAGTGTTTATTTTATTTATTATTCATTTAATTTCATCAAATTTCAATTTATAATATTGGTGTGGATGATCTAAACAGAGAATTATTTCAGGGCCTTGGTACTCGCGACAATGATTTGATTCGAATAATAGTGTCACGATCAGAAATTGATCTTCAACTTATCAAAGACGAATTTCAACGTCTTTACGGCAAACCACTAGTGGATTTTGTTAAAGCAGAATGTTCTGGTGCTTATCGCGATGCTCTAGTTGAATTAATAAAAGGAAATTAAAATGTCACTAATCATTAATCATTGCCGAACCATAGTGGTTGTCATTAAAGTTGTTTGATGATGAAGTGCTATGTTCTGTTTTGTTCTTGGGCAGTTTTCATTATTCTTTCAATCGTTCGCAGAAGAAATGAATATAAAACAATTAGAAACGGATTTTATTGTATGCAATTTATGAACCTCTTCTATTTATCTTATTTGTGCTTCTTCTGATTTTAACTTTTATGCTTCTTTAAAAGACTATCGAAGATATCACTATCACTAAAATTGTCATTGATAAGTTAGTGATAAAGAAAAAAATTATCTGATCCTCATATTGTTGCATTTTCAAATGTTAACTGTTAATTTATTTCATCTTAAATTGTTGAAGCTTCAATTTATCATAAAGTCTGATTTCTGTAATTTGAATTTTTTTCCTCGATTCTAAAAAATTTGATTGTTTTATTGATTTAAGAATTTTCTTTTCATTTTCTTCAAAGTTTTTTTTTAAAAAAGTCTTTTTTTTTAAATTCTTAATAAAAATAGTAATGGAAAATAATTGGCGATATGAAGCATTGTTGTGTAAATTTGTAGTTCTTCTTTAATCTTTGAGCTTTTACCGCGAAATCTTTCAATCTCTAATCTGGAAAATTTAGTGATTTCAGTCATAAATTTAGATGAACAAAATCGTAATTAATAAAGATAATACAAAAAAAACTTTGTCATTGATAAGAATTAAGATCTTATTTAATAAACAAATCGGAATAGTCTTGACAGTATAAATAAATAAGATTTTATTATTGATAAAAATTATGATATTTTTATATTTTTACAAAAAGCGATTTTTTAGTTATATTTTGATTCATCTGGAAATTTCAAGACTATTCGAAGCTAATTACTACAGTTCTATTGTATTTCTTTGCAATTTTATTTAAAAAGAAAACTTAAAGTATTACTAGTATGCTTATATGAGTATGCTTGTGGACTTCACGAGCCAACCAAATGGATACAAAATTAAAAATATCTACTTCGGATTCGAATTTTGAAACAATTCTTATTTGTTCGTTTAATATAAAATCTGATATTTAATAATTTGAAATTGTTTTTGAATTAGAATTTCCTTGAAAAACGAATGATTTTCGAAGAAATTTATAAAATTTAGAAATTTAGAAATTTTCCATAAATTTATATTCTCGTTTTCCGATATTCTTTTTATTACTAACTAATTAACCAGGAAAATTTCGCAATAAAAGAACCAAACATTTAAATGCTAAATTAATTTAGAAAAACAACTACACGGAAGATTAATTCAAAGATAACATCAACAGTTGTAGCCGATTTTTTCTTGAAAATAAAAATAAAGCTAAAATCATACATATCCTTCGATACTTTGCAGATAGCTTAGTTCCGGGCATAGAATGGCTCAGCGGACTATTGAGGTTCTACTCGTCGCAGGAGTAAACTAGCGACTCTCTGTACTTCAATCGCCAAGCATCTCTCTGGCATATTTGCCTAATCAGATCAGCCAGCGGAGCGAGTCTAACCAGTAATGGTGAGGACTTCTAAAAAAAAATTCTTTTATAAGCATGATCTAAACTTTTTTGCTTTTTGATGAACCCAGCTCGTATAATTCGAACCTACATTCGCTATATTCACATATTTAGCAATTAGGATATTTCGATTAAACTCTTAAATTCTCCATAATAGGAAGGAGCGTTATATTCTGAATGAGGCTCAACGAGATACGTCATTTCAATAGTTTAAAAATAGAAAAGCTTCAAATTTATTTTTCCAGAGCTTTTTAACTATTAGCATCAATTATGAACACTAATTTCTAAACATTTATTAATGGCTATATCGAAATCTAATAAATGACTTACTCGTGTTACCGGAATATTATCAGGGATGGACTGAACTATCGATGGCTTCGAGCTTTTTTGACTAAAAATTTGCATTGCCTAAAAACCAGTTTAATTTGTCCAACGTAAAGTTGTTTTATTTATAAAATATTATCTTATAACCTTCCCTATGTAAAATAAACCTTGTAATTATAGGTTAAAAATAAATATTAGAATAAATAAATAAAAATTAAATAAACTATCACTAATATATCTATAATAATTAACGAAAGGCCAATGCAACTACCTTGAGGCAATTAGCCGATCTAATTGCGGCCATGTTTATTATTGCGACGAATCGCTATATGGTCAAACTTATTTAGTCAAATATTCATCTGAATAAATTCTCACTAATGTCACTTATTAATTACATTCAGCGATTTATTATATGAAAAAATATCAAGGCTTTATCAAGATAAACAAGAGAAGTTATTCGACCTCGATCATTAGAGAATAGGATCAGTCATAGAGGTTAGCTAGATTCGTAGATATTTTCCTGCACAGCCCTTATAGGAAGTTGTAAGCATTTGAAGCATTGGCCTCAAGATAGCCATATGTTTTATATCACTAATAATGACTGATTATCTTTCTAATATAACTGATATAATGAATGATAATGAATGATAAGTTTTTACTAATATCTTAGGTGTGAATTCAAATCTATTACCCTTTTCAATGGACACATTAGTTTTAAATCGAGTTAATCTTTCAAAAATACGAAAAATTCTAAATTTTCGATAAGTATTCGAATTACTTTATTCGAATTAGGCTTAAAAATTAAGTTTAGTTTTTAAAGAGACTTCATACTTATTCATAAAAAATTTAAGGAACAATTTCCTAATAGTGATTCTCGCATAATGAAAATTTTAAGTGAAATAAGGCGTTACAAATATCAACGAAAGAAATATTGACCTTATTTAAAATTAGATGAAATTATTGAACGAGGATGAATTCAGGTCAATTTAATTTCTGTTACTAAACACATGTACTGCTCAATAAAGCCAAGTAAGAGTGGAATGGCTCAATGGCTTATTGTTTTTTTTTCGAAATGCCAATGTTTAGGCTATAGAATATAGCCGGTAAGAATAAATTTGTAAATTCGAATATAGCTGGTAATTCACTCTTATTTCTATCGATAAATTATTCCCTAGCAAAATCTGTTTTTTTCGACAAACTAGTAGGGTAAACCTAATTAGAAATGGTAAGGTATTCAGAAGAAAAATGATAAAGCGAGAAAAAAAAAGGAATCTAAACAAGAATGACACCTGAATAATGCGGTTCAACACTGCCATTTGGCAAAAACATTTAGGTGAAACGAGTCCAATAAGATTCGACTGCCTATTTCCTTCGATTATCTTAATTCCACTAGTTTTAAATGTTTTCACTACCACAAATCACTACAGAGCTAACTAACTGAGAATTAGAGTTAGATCGTTATCAATGTATCTGCTTTTAGGTAACAAAAATATATATATTGAAGCCTGATATTTTATGTCAAATCTTTAATTTCTTTCTTGAGTCCTTAAACTTTTTATTTTTAAAGAAATCTTCACCATTACGTGTTAAACTCATTCCGCTGGCTTGTCGCACTGGATAAATATGCGAGCGAATACCTTGGCGATAGAAATATAGATGAATCGCTATCATAACCCGGATTTTTGGACAGGTTTTGGACTCCCGCGAGAACTCCTCGACATTTCAAATTGAGCAACAATCCACTGAGCCATTTTATCCCTACAAGCTTCAAGTTTTTTAGTATCTTTCATTAATTGCCAAAAGTACTCCATTCCTTGTTTCTCACTTAGCTAGTTTAGGATATTTAATCGTGGTTACAAATGAGAATATAAATAGTTAATCATCCGAAACTATCCGAGTGGGATTATTTTTCTTCAATCTTCACTGACCTAATTGGTCGTAGCGCATCACTTAATCTATTAAAAAGAAATTCAAAAATGGTATGAAAATGATAATGATAAGTAAGTTCTTAAAGAATTTGATAGTATCATTGAATGCAGTCTTTTTTAAACCAATAACTCTATGACTAAACTTATAGAATTCAATGGTATAATAGAGAGAATTTTTTTTATTATGATAAATTATGATTATTACGATAGATATGATAAATAAGATGAACTTTTTGCTAGACAGGTGTGTTGCTTGATGAACAAATATTTTCCTAAATATGCGGATTCGATTTAAAAAATTTCTATTAACAATGCAACGTAGCACTTAATATTTGACCCTGAATAACACTTCACTTGCATTTCACCTTACATAATTACAAACCATTAATGGGAAATTTATCAGAAATTTTTCATGTTCCATATTATTGCCGCAACAATTATTACTAACAATTCTGCTCAATTTTGAAGAAAAAAAGTGAAATTATTGCACGAGAAATAAAACTTAATATAACAATTTGTAATAAAAATTTATATATTTCGTATTTTAGTGATTAAAAATTAACTAAATAGCTTTTTGGCTATTTTATTTTTTTTTTTAGATAAAATTTATTTGTTCTTTTTTTTTTAAAATTTATGAAATTTTAGAAATTTTTAATCAAAGGGATTAGGAATGAGATAGGACAAAGAAAATAGAGTTGGAAGAACATAAAACTTTTAATGAAACGAAAAAAGAAGGAACCCGTCGATTTTGAAAATTTTTAAGGCGATCGTTTTGAAATATTGGGATTCTTTATGTTTTCACATTTCAGATTTGCTATTTCTGAAACGATAAAAAGTGATCGATCATTTTTGCACCACTTAGAACGCTAAGAGGTGTATCGATAAATCAGTCTGATTTAGTTCATCATTATTTTTCTATAAAGGGCAAAAGAAAGAATGATCTTGACCAGTTTGGCAATTTCCTAAATTTTTTGGCTATTTTCTTGAGCCTTCCTTGTTTTTTCATTCAAAAATAATTTAGTGGATTTTTTTTCGAAATTTTTTCCCAAAATCGATTATTTTTTCATAGTAAGATTTTCACTTTATTTTTAAAAAAGTTAAATTGCGACTTTCATGAAAAAATAATATAATTTTCGTCACTTTTTAAAATTACATCTCTTCAAATAAATTTTTTTCATTCCGAAATTATTTTCATTAGTCAAGTGATAAATGATAATGCTATACAAAACAAGAACGTTTAAGGAATTATCTTTTGGTAAATTTATGGAAAAATCAGCTACCAATATTCCTACCAATATTCTCTATAAGTATTAAATGCACATTAATATTTTAACCGTATCCTATAAAAAAATCTTTGTCCAAAAATTTCTTGGCAAAATATTATTTAAGGAAATTTCGGCAGTTATACATACATATTGCTTGGCCAAAAGTTGGAAAAATGATCGACCGCTATTTGCCTGAAAAAAATTTTTCAAAATGTTAACTGAAATCGAAATTCGACCTATTTATCGAGCAAGACAAATGCAAATCCAATTATCAATCCCAAAACCTTATTAGATTTTTTTTCTGATATGCAAAATATTCTGAGAACACTCGTCATTTCTAAATCAGCTAACCCAACTGATTGAAAATGAGAATCATTTGAAAATGGGCAACTATTCAATTGCTCAACAAACTTTTGATTTTGTCGTAAGAGAAGAAAATTATTTTAAAATGCAGATCATCCTAAGATAAGATCAACTAACAGGCGAATTAAGCCTTATTAACGAGAAAAATTCCAGATTATCACTAGGTCACTAACAATCTACCATTAAGATTTCCCTCATCGTTGGCCAAAAGAAATAACTTTCCCAATAAAATTTATATTAGAAGATTATAAGATTAACCACTTTTGAAAAGATTTGCGTAAAGATTTACTAAATTTTTATAATATTGTAATTTTTCTATTTTTTTTCCAAATTTTTTCCTATATTTTTTTCTTTTATTAAAAATTTTAAAAGTACAATTTTATTATTCGTTTTATCTTCAATAATTATAATTAAAAATATTAAAGGGCATTTAACTTTTAGCAATAAAAGAAAAATGCTTAAAAACGCAAAAAAATTGCAATCTTTTTATTGTAAATATTTTCTTTAAAAGCGTCTAAATTTAATCGAATTAATGGTAAAAAATTTGCTAAAAATTTTATGAAGTTTTTCTTTCATTTTCATAAAAATATTATTCTCTTAAACATAACATAATTTGCATATATATATATATATATATATAAATACAATACATATATGGTATAATATATAATATAATATATATGTATTATATATATATAATTATAATTAAATATGATTTATTTGAGAAAAATTAGAATTAATATTTAAATTATTTAATTATTAATGTCGAATTAACATTATGGTTGCATTTATTACTTTCATCTATTTGTTTTTATTTGTATTTATTATTAATTATCATTTATTTATTTATTGTTGATATTATATTATCTTGCAGGCGATTTTATCTCTCGTATCATCAGTTTGATTTCAGTTACTGTTAAATTTTGAAAATTTTATCATGCAGTTAGTTTCATCGATCAGAAATTTAAAAATTTTTCATTATCTAGTGATAATTATAATAATATAATTTTTGGAGAACAAGGTTCTCTTTACTCCTCCTCATCGTTACCATCTTTTATCATTTTTTTATCATTTTTAATTTAATTCTTTATTTTCCATGAAAATTCGTTAATTATTAACCAGAAACGAATTGTTTCAAGTGAAAATTTTTAGGGTTTTTTTTCTAAGGATGTTTCATAATTTTTAGTTTGCTCCATAATGACATACACTGGCAATAGAAATAGAGATAGGTCGTCAGTTGCACCCAATAGAGCTGTTATTATCTTTTCATGCCATTCTATATTAATCATTCTGATAACTCATCAGTTTTTCATTTTTGTTAATTTATTCAATTTCATAAAACTTAACTACAAGCAAGCTTATTAAATAAATTATATAATATTTATGAATAAATGATTCGATTATTTCGTTTTAATCGCAAAATTTTTTAAAATCAAATTTAAATAAAATAAATATCGGTGAAAAACTTTATGAAATTTATGAAATATTCATAAAATTAAGCGGTTTATTTTCAAATTTTTACAAGATTTCGCTTTATTTAATTATTGTCATCATCGGTTTATATAAATACAAATTGATTAAAAGAAGAAGCATATGGTAGGATTCTTGCATGAGATCCTCGTATATTGAAGGATCCATTTAAATGAATGGTGACAATTATTTTTACCAAAAGAGAGGTTTTTCATTAATAACTTTTCATTTTTTACTGCATTTATATGTGCGCTTATATGCGTAACATTATTTATATTAGGTCTAGTTGATTTACTAATAAAATAAAATAATTTCAACCCTCTATAGAACCCTCTATAGAAGACAAGCTGACTATTTTATGGATCCATTAGCCTAAATTATTTCTCGGTGACTTTTTTATAAATGAAATCTAAATGACAATAAGAGCCTACAGGTCCGATTTTTTTTTCCAATTTTCTAACTTAATCACTGCCGAAAGTTTTTCACCGCAAATATAAGTAAAGTGCCTCACTTCGCAAATAATAAATTTGTCCAAGTCAGAAATGCCAAAATATCATTCAGTCGTAAAAATGAAATAAAAGCAAATATGAAAAACAGAAAAAAATTCAAAATTGCAAGATTTAATAATAATAATTGCAAGATTTAATAATAATAAAAATAATTGATTCATTACATAGTGGCATTATTTCTTAGCAATATTTTAGGCTTGTAAGGTAACTAAGTAGTTGGAGGCAACATTTCTGATTAAATTAACCTAGCTACACTGGTTCTTAGTACGATTAGAAATTCTTCCAGGAAATTAGCTGACTATAGAAATACACATGGGGTCATCAACATCATCCGGTTTGATATAAGATCTTGATCGATTAATTAATGCCAAGCAACTGTTGTTCGAGCTTCTAAGGTGTTATATCTTTCCAAATTATACCAGAAACATTAGGAGAAATTCATCGATTTAGGCACTTATTTTTTTATTTCTCTTTATAATTTTTTCAATTATTTTTATCGATATTTTTGTCGAAATAATTTTTTAAAAATATTTTTCATGCATTAGATGAATTGCATGTATTCTTAATTTACGCATGTTATAAGGTTTCAGGATGGAATGTCACAAATACACCCATTTCAAGCACGAGCAGAACTGCATCATGAATGCATTCGTTCGAATAGTTTACTTCCAAATCATAGCACTTTTTTTCAGCAACCACTGCTCTCAGATGGGCTTCCTCAATTACCTATGGGAAAAAGTGGCCATCCTATTATTTCACTCTGTGATGATTCTTTAATGTCTAAATCAAACAGATTGTTTGTTGCATCAAGTCAAAGCAAAGCAATACAAAGTATTTCTACAGGTCACCACAAACTATCTATTGTATTTTATATTTAACAATATATACATATTTTATTTTGAGTGGTAGATTTCCACTATTTTTATGAAGTTGCCAGTTTCTTTGACAGTTTTCGGTTGTAATGAATTGAACTCTCATTAGATGCATAAATATAGCCATTTGCAGAGCAAAAACTGTGGCAATCGTCGAATCAAGATAAGAATTCTTTACAGTTTTCAAATCAGAAATATTTTTTCGCACCATTTTCAGGCACTTCTCAATTTTCTGCTTTCTTACACGATAATAATTATCCATTATCACATTTCCAGGTAAAACTTTTCTGAGTGCAATAATTTTACTATACTTTGTGAAAATTTACTAAAATTCTATTAGAACCATTAGTAATCATTTATTATCATTATTATTATGTTCTGAGCAATATACATATATTTATATATAATGTGGTATGGCATCCGAATAAACAATACATAATTAAGTTCTTAACGATCTATCATTATAATGGCATAATTATTTATTAAAAACTAGAGTGTGGTCGATTCTTCGATTTTCATAACATTGCTCCAGAATTATTGTAAAAATTACCTTCAGAAACTTCATTCAATTATAATATTTTATAAATTATCTCAATAATCGCTATTATTATTTTTAGTAATATTTAAAGCTACTAAAATGTTGATTGTTCTAGAAATAAGGAACAGTACTTTTATAAGGTAATAATTTTATTCATTAGTCTTTAAAAATAGTTTTTTTCTTCTGAACATTTTTATTTTATTCAAATTTGTTGGCAACGAACAATTTTATCACGATTAATAATGCGTTAGTATTCAGTATTACATAAAATTTTTTTTTAAAATTAGCCATTAAGAAATTATCTATTATGAGGAAAAAAACTATAGAAGTCGGCTATAATTTGAACTTTAATTAGCATTTTTAGTAGAGAAAAATTTTAGAAATTAACAAAAAAGCTTTATATTAGTGATAATAATAAGTTGGTTCATCCATATCCATCCATTTCGTTACACATTTTTTAACAGAAATAATGGAAATTTCAATGGAATGTTAAATAACAGAAATTTATAATTTATTATATCATAAAAAAATTTCTCGAAAATTTCTGAAATTTTAAGAAATATTTTACAAACATTTAATGAAATAATGAAATTAGACTGATAACTTTTGATATTCTGGGTGATTATTCTTTAGAAAATTTCGTTTTTTTCACAAATTTATTTCAAAGCCACAGATAGAATTATTTGATAATAAGGTGGTGATGGTGATTATTTATTTAAGATATTCTTATAACGAGAATCTTTCGCTTGATAAATTTGTCATTTAAATATAGAATTTTTTAAAAAATTTAAAAAAATTGTGACCTTCACCAAAGATAGTAGCGCTAAACGCAATAGCCAAAATTTATTAATGGCCGAAAATGGAATACTTTCAAGCTATTTTTGCAAGAGCAGTGCCAAAATTGGCTGGCGTTTTCATTCCATTAAATTATTGAAAGGATGGGCACATAAATTTGAAGGTAGCGTAGTTAGCAATATTAAGTTATTAAAGGTGCCCAGCAGCATGAAAAGGAACTTCTACTATGTATTATTTTCATTCTCGTTATCTAATGATAATAAAGCACTGTTTTGTTTTTTCATTTTGCATTATATAAATGTAAATGTACACAATTTTTTAAAAAGTGGTTTCTTGAAACAATTCAATTTTGACTAAATTTGTTTCCATTTATAATATATGCTTTCTCGTGCATATTTCTACAAAATTCTTCGCAAATTTGGTAAAAAATACGTGAAAAGAGTACTTTATCTAAAAACTCTCATCTTTTGGCTTATTCTATTGGCTTGGAGGATTAGGCAAATTTTACCCCGATGAAATCTGGCGGTACAACTAGATCATTCTCCTTGAACAGATAAAAATCCTGCATGGATACTTCGAAATAAATTAAGCAGCCCACTGATTATTATATATTAATTGAGTTTTACTCAGTAAAAATTAATAGAGAATTTTTTAACGCTATTTAAAATTTTGTTAGAAATTATCGTGTTTTCTTATGATATAAAATCAAAAATGATAATTTTTCGATTTAATCGACTTTTTCATCAAATTCCGATTATTATAAACTTAATTAATGAAGTTACTAAATTATATCTTTTATGACGTTGGACAAAACTTTAATTGTTAATTAGCAAAGCTTACTCATTCATAATTGCATTTTTAACTTGTTTACCGTAGCTTTATGAAAATTGAAAAGGTTTATTAAAATTGTAGGAAAAAATGAAAATATATTTTTTAGTATTTATTTATTTATTTATTGAAACACATTTTTCTCCTTAAATTTTTCTTATGATACAAAATAAATTCTCCGGAGAATTTATTTTTTAATAAAAAAACTTTGAAAAATTATGGAATTGAGGATTTAATGAAAGAATAATCATATAATAGGAAAAATTCCAGAATTTCTGAAACAAAATTTTCGAAAAAATATAAATCAGAATGATTTAATAATTTTATATCTAATTTGTTTCAATTTTTTGTAAAGCTAATTCATTTGAATGATGGAAGACGAAAAAAAAGAAACATGACAAGTGTCACAAAAATTGCATGAAAATTGCGCACAGATGGTCGTTCACTCATTTCAGTTCTCTCCACGTCTTTATGATCGAATCGTTAATCTAGTTTCGAAAATTGATCACTCCAAAATTTCCACACCATATTTTATCCTAATACGAGTGAAGAATAAATTATATACTACCAAGAATTCGTGGTACCAACCGCCCAACAGAGTCGCTTTCAGTGGTAGCTTTATTTAACATAGGCTTTTCTTGTTTAGCTAGAATTAATTTAATGTTTGCTCTAAAATTTACTTTCAAGGATTCCTTTTCAAGGTATTTAATATTTCTGAATAGCATTCTTTCTATATAGCTTGCAATGCACGTCAATTAGCTTCATTAGCGATCCGTAGCGATCTTTAGCAAACAAATGATATACTTGCAATAATGAATCAGTGGTGTGCCACTAAATTAGTGAATAAATAATATATTACCCCTCAATTAGCGTTGACGACAATGATTTAGAAAAATTGCATGGAACACATAAGAGAAAGAAAATGACGAAAAGATAATCTATAGAACTGCGATTTACAATATGAGGAAAATAAAAGAAGGAAGTTTTTATGGGCTGCAAGACGTTAACCCCCTATGGAGGGATTAAAAGAGTCGAGCATATCTTAATGCATTAGAATTCACGATGGGATATCGAACTTTTGATGTACAAAATCACTAAAACAGATATAATTTGCCTTAGGGGGTAAGTATCTATTTATTATTAATAAATAAAAAACGAAATAAGCATGGTAATGGTAATGAAAAATTTTCTTTTTATAAGCATGTGTATATATATGCATATGCATTCTAAGTATATTTAACGCATTTATTTAACATGCATACTACTTGAATAAATAATAATTATATAGCATGCATGCGCAATTGCTTATAATAATTGCAATGACGTTGATAATCGGAAAGGATATCCGACAAGCAGCACTAGTCGATCGCCGGAAATATAATCGATCCACGATCAGTTTATGCTTTTACTTTTGTCTTTCATTCTTTTAAACCATTGAAAAATGAATAATTCGAGAATAAATGAGCGAAAACGAAAAATGATTTACAGTAGTCGTAGACGAATTACCATATTACTAAAAGAATGGGAAAAGCTTGAAAATATTAAATTTTTTTATTGTTGAAAAATATTTATATTTATCGCCTTCTTTAGAATGCTATATGGGTAATAATATCGGTTGAAGTATGCGATAATACTCATTGAGAAGTGTTTTATTTAGGATTTACAATTATATTGTTCGGTCAAGTGTCATCAACTTGAAGAAAGAAATTCTTATTCGATTTTCTTCTTCTTTTTTTTTTTCTTCTTCTTTTTTGATTATTGTTGATTGTGCGTATAGTCATCGAAAATGAGCTCATAAAACGGCGAATAAGAAAAGAAAAGGATGAATGAAATTCGGAAGGAACAAAGGAAGTGGTGGTTCGTCGAGCTGCTCGAATAAGACATATGGACTATGTTGTGCTCACCTGTCCAATTCATTCCTATTCAAAAATATTACTGTAATCATTTAGTTTAGTCATATGAATATTGCAAGAGAGAAAGAAAAAAAAAAAAAAAAAGATCATATTTTATCCAAAATATCGAATTTCTTCTCAAAAATTGCGAGAAAAAAAAAGAAAAGAAAAACTAGCCTAAATCCTTAATTAATTAAGCATATTTGAGATTAACCATTAATTTTTTATACTGTAGAAAATTTCGATGAAAATTAATTTAATCATATGATGCAGTCGAATAGTTCAGTCGGATATTGCTAGTATTTTTGAGCGCCTCTATTATTGTAGTTTCAATTTTAGACGCTATTAGATTTTCTTGTCGAAAATTCAGGTGACGCTAGCAACTCATAATGATAATTTAAATCAGATAATTTTATTCTAAAATTTACTGATAAAATCACCAAATGATAAAATTTGTCTGGTTCTATAAGTCAATGGAGCCTAATTAGAAAGCTTTGTTGAAAAAAAAGAGAATTCTTTATAGAGTTTGATAGGGTTTATTAGGCGATAGCTGACTAAAAATCGTTTGGACAAGTTTTTTACCAATTTTTTTTAATGATTTAAGGAGGAACCATTAATTTTCATTCCATTAAATTTACATATGAAACAATATTTTTATTTAAACTTTTAGTATGATGAAAATAGCTTTTATTCATTCATTTATAAAACCTCTAATTAAAAGCCGATAGAGGAAATATTTTTTAAAATTCCTAGATTTTCGAAATGAGCAGTTAAACTATTTAACTTTGGTCTGAGTCACTTATTTGCGATTTAATCAAATGGGCAATGACCCTTAGCTGTCGTTAAACAATAGTTCCTCATAAATTTTCTAGTAGATTTTATTTAGGTCATTGAAATTTGTGGTTATTTTTCCTATTACGCTTTTAAAAATTACTCGAAAAATTGATTTCATG